ATAGTTTTTATCGTTGAAAGTAAAAATAATAACACAAATTATTTTGGATATCAAAGTACCGACAATTCACAAACCCATTTCCCATAAGAAGAGACTGAATGCAACTATAAATCGCGTTAAAAACAAGTTGAATCTGCCTCAAAATAAACCAATACCGGGCAAAGTCGAAGGAGGTTCATTTCAAATTGAACAGCAGGCAATCTTTTGTACATTGGTGTTTGAGAAAACTCAACAAATATCTTCAATTAAGACTCCTGTAAGAGCTTTCTTTTTTGATCTCGTTAGTGCAAATTTTGACCTTGTTATAATGTTAAAATAAATTTCTATAAAACCCACTTAATAATTGCCTGACGTGGATCAGCCATTGGGTGTATAAGTGTAGTCAGTTTGTTTTGTCTGCTTTTTGGCGTCAAATGAATGCGCCTAAACGACTGATGAAAAGGACGCTGATGACAAGGTGCATAATATCTTTGTTGAAGCCCATGACACATAAGAGTGCGCAGAGCTAGAGAAGCAAAATGAATGAGGCACGAATGCTCGCACTAGGCAACACCAAGTTTTGTCCTCCATGAAGGCCAGTTTAATTTGCTAAGTGGTAAAAGTAAGCACCGGGTGACCTAAGTGCTTTAATAAATGTGCTTATTAAAAAGGTTGGTATTTTTTAGTTTTAGCTATGATGGTTCATAGTTCTTAAGCAATCACAGCACTTTATCGTAGTAAAATAATGGTGTCTACAAACTAAAATCAAAATAATCTATTTCAGCAAGGAAACCTGTGGAGTCCTCGTGAATGGAACTTCACTGTTTTTGTATGCCATGATGATAATTCCAGTTCTGGGGTCTGCGATACGTCAGTATGTTTTTATCTCTAACTGGCGCTATTTAAATAATCTCTCAGTGCATTAAAACAAACCGCGGTCACAATTTTAATGCTGGGACCTTTTGTCGTTTCGTTTTTTTAGTGCAGAGGTCATCGTTTGACCCTAGGGTGAATGTATTGGCCATTACTATTGCTGCTTATTAGACAACTCTGTATTCTAAACTTCTTTTCATTTTTTTTATAAAAAAAGTAAATTTTAAAGTATTTCTATCTAACAACAATTTTTTCTGCATTTTTCTAGTTCTGACCAGAATGATAAATCAACTAAATTTCGAATTTCTCATGATCTATTTTCATCAGATCTGCGTCCTTGACAAACACTGATATGCGTGTCACTTATTAATATTTTCTATTTGTTTTTTTACAATTTTTCGGAAAAATGAGAACTAAATAACATATCATACTCGGAAAACGCCCATTAATTATCAGCCATTGCCTACCAACTTATATGTAACTCGGTGCTTCAAATATTAATCTTCAATGTAATGTTCTACCATTAAACTTATTTACGTTCAAACACTGTTTTATAGCAATGACTGTAGTGCATGAATTTGGGTGAGTTCTACAAAGACCACGTGAATTCACAAGCTACATGATTTTCTTAAGTGTTCAAAGGGAAAACACTCCAGTTGTTAAATTGAATAAACGTTGACTTTCATTTTCAGCCTGGTTTTTGCACAACAGTAAGTAATGTAAAATCAAGTCAGTAAGGAGTCATTTAATGTGCACTCCTCTTGTCATGTCAAAATGGTTTAGATAAATGTCTGCTGACAGTTCTACTTTGCCTAGCGTTTTCGGCTAACATTAATTCCTTAATCTCCAATCTATAGTGTTATTTAGGTAAATATTACAACCGAGAAGAAGTAAAGGTCGTTTAAAGACTAATGAAAGGCGCTTTCGTGGCAAACCTGATCTCCTTTCTGATGGACGTAATCCCTTTTTTGAGGCCAAACGTGGATATTTTTTTAAACATCACAATTCGTGATCAGCAGGCAACTAATTTCCAGTAGAAATTAAATATAAAAACCCAAATGGTCTGCACGTATCCAATAGAACCGGAGATGATTGGTTTTAAGATCCCGCGCCGGTCTAAAGAAAAGTCAAACCAGTTTGTACGAGCTTGCATGCCATGTAAACTGACTATTAGAGTACTCAATGACCTTTCCAATTTTTAGTCGTCTATGCTCCTGTCTGTGCTCGAAAACTTGAACAAAAAACTGGTCAAATCAATAAAACAGTACCTCCATTGGCGATAAGGTGCTTTAAATGGAACAGTTACCCGTTTGCGATAGCCAATTCAGACCCTTGGCTCCCAAATGCTTTTGATCGATAGAAACATGCAATTTGGATTCCACAACTAAGAAAGACGTGTACTTGGTTGGAATCATTATACAACTATTAGACGCAGTTTGTTTTCGCACAGCATACCAACTTCCAATTTCTACCCACGACGCTAGATTGACAAAATGGCGAAGTTCATCGAGGATCAGGTTATTTGCATCACACCCTGATTTCTTACGCTCTCCAAGTGAAAGGAGGCACGCTTATACTGGCAACTATTTCTACATACCGGAATACGGCATTCTACCCGCTCCTCCACCTTATTTCATATATATTGGCGTCATAGTGGTGTGGGTTCAACTACTCAACATAAATACTAAACTGTATAATTCGGGATGACAAGCTTGTAAATGTTCTTCATCTTATGGAAATATCATAAGATTCCCCAAGATTCTGAATTTAAAAACTGCTTCAAGTAGAAACACATGTCACAGGGTTACTTAGGAATTCGATTGAGGATAGAGACATATCACCAATACAAATTCTGGTATATTAAATGAGCAAGTCGGTCTAGAGCTATGCATAACAATTAGATTTAGTACTTCTGCCAACCAGTAGATTTTGCTTTGTTAGCTATTTCTATTGCCCTTCAATGTTAATATGCGCAGATTTATAATTAGTCAAATCAGCGATTTCTAGTATCTGCGCATTCAGCTACGAAGACGACAGGCCGAAAATGGGCACGGCGGTGGGGTTCGGGGGAAGACAGATCGGGCCACTGGGGGGAAGATGTGGCCTGAGATCAAAGATCTTTGCCCACCAATTAAGAACATGTGCGCAAATTAACAAAATGACGTTCACTCAAACGTCTCCGAAGGAGCTTCATGTTAACAAAACAAGCCAATAGTTGACACGGTGAATACTGTTCGGGCAAACATTGACACATTCTAGCAGCAAATCTTGCCAAGAGATTTGTCCTCACAAAAGCGAAATACCCAAATAACAATAAGCAATAGTCGATTTCCCTATCAACTGAGCGATTATAAAGCTAGACATTTTGACAACCATTTTTTACAGAATTCTTGATGATAAAACACTTGTTTTATTATTAGCTTCCTACTGGGATTTCGCGACGTGGCACAAATTAGGGGTTATTATCCACGGTTGTCAGCGTACTTACACAATAGCCGCCTCCCCTCAAGGATGCTGTTGAGGCCTTCCTGTGAGCATTCAACAGCCTCTAACGCATTACATCTCATATTTCTCATTTCACTCCCAATTCGAGTATTTGAAGTTCTGCGTAACGACGTTCAACTACTATAGTTAGTTCCCTTGCACAGTTGCGTCTCCAAGTGTCAGGTGGTTAGACAGGAACACACAACAAAAAAAAGTATTTTTTGTATCGAACTTCCACTGACACAACTTCATCCATCAACCTGCGTACTTTTGTTCCTGCATTACCATGAACTAGCGACTCGACCTGAACACAGCAAGTGGTACAATGACTGCCTCCGTAGTGGACATACGATGACGTTCTGCGAAGCTAACAAAGATAGGCCAGTCCTCAAGTTGACGATGATGCCCTTGGTGCCACTTTAAATAGCAAAGTGACATGTTTTTAATGGGATATTTTCTACCGCTGCCCAGTTGACTTTCCGGAATATACGCAGGCATACCACCGGATCCTGGACAGTAACAATCAAGTCAAGGAATATACCGCTACCTGCCGGTCAAAGAAGCTAGTGGTGCAGGCAGTCGAAACCCAAAATTTAAAAACTTTAAAAAATTAAGTTCGTGCAAGATGTATAACATAGGCGGTAAGCATTAGAACAAATAAGGACGTGGAAAGTCCTTTTCATGTCATATTATATATTTATAACTTGGCTGAGCTTCTGGATCCGATTGAGCAAAACGTCACCGTGTTTAATGATTGCCTAAAAAGGGGAAAAATTAACGAACAATGGCAGCACTAAGTAAAAAACATCAACGTTATTTTTGACACCGCATTATTTGGAATTTCACGTGCTTTAATGTAAAATTAATTTAACAATCCCTGGTCGCCAATGACTATATTTGAAAAAAGGCCACCAAAACACAAGTCTGCCGCATTTTCTTTTGAATCAACAAAACTCATTACTTGACTACCAACACTTCAGCCGATATTACTTCTCCAAATCGGCTTCACTGTTCGTTTTATCGATAGCGTCTAACACCGAGGATCACAAAAAATACCCTAGACAGAAATCCTAGTCCGTGGGATTCGAATAAGCCCACCTGTACTAGGGTGTAGAAAACAGTAGTTGGGGCACGCGGAGTAATGAAGCAATTTACTGAACACGAAAGTAGAAGACACACATGTCGCTGGGAGGAATAGGAAGAAATTGCGAAGCTTTGCTTCCCTTAACAGGCACACATTTCCCATGGGCGCTACAGTACGTCCACAATAAAAAGTATGATGGGATTAAACATGCGGAGATCAATCTGTCCCTCGCCCTCCCTACTGAGTGCACCAATAAACCGAAGGCTAAATTGGGAGGAAATAGGGGCGGGTTGTTGCGCAGCGACCTGTGACTAGCGTCAGCAAAAAGCCATTACGGAGCCAAGGGTGTACACGTGTGGGCAATAGATTAGTTACGCACGCGCAACGGCGTAAAGGAGCAGCGCCTACTGCAATACCTCTATCCACTTCCATTCTACTCTCGTAGCCTAGGGTGATGATCGGAGGTACTGCCGAAAATGAGCAGATCGCATACGGTTTGAACGTCATAACCACCCTACACAGTTACAGTCCCCCGATGACCGAACGAAACCTACATCATCACTCTGAACCTGGACACAAATCACCTTCTTAAAAGAAAACAACAACCGAAAAGATGACAAACCTGCAACAGCAAACGAGAACAATAATAACAGCATCCACACAAAGGGTAGCTCACTTGGTACTGAGAATTGACGTTGTCTGGACGCGTCGTCTCTACGATGCCAGCGACCTTGTCGATCTTACAAGCAATTCGACCGTTGGCAATGAATCGTGAAAGTTCTGCGTCAAGAAAGCCTACCGTGACCCCGAATGTGGTTGCCATACTTTCTAAGCTGAGACTGCTGTAGGAGTCCAAATGTTGACAATAGGCAGAAATGCGCATCTCACGAACATAATAGCGGGCGTGTGCCGCGAGATAGCGATCAGAATGCATGAACTGCTCCACTGCAGCTGAAAGAATAGCAGTTTATTAAAATGTATCAGTGTTTTTGCGAAACGTGATCATCTGAAATGGTAAAGTGGAATTTAAAACCGAATTAGACTTCGAAAATAGTAATCTCCATATTAAAAAACGACAAAGGAATATTTCGACAAGTAGTTGATTGGACGTTTTCAAGATTATTAAAATTAAGCAGAGTACCTGCACATTCTGCTCTTGAAGAGAAAAATCGATAACCTCGGAGTTTAAAAATAAGTTAGAGTCAACAACGTGCTCAGAGTCTTCCCACAAGAAAAAGGAATGAGCCAGATGGTTGCACTGGTTGCAAACGTCTTGCAGGCGCCAGGACTTTTATTGAATGCCTACTGCGCAAGCAATTTCCGCAAGCGAATGCGCGATATCAATGGCCGATTCTTCATGCCATATTTTATTGCGTTCGTCCAATCGACTATTGATTGTATAATCGGATTGACACACATTTTGTGTAATATAAGTTACTTCCTTCACACACCGAACACAGCCACCGCCGGCATTGTCTGCATCCTAATGTCTGGCGGTTTAATCGACATGGCCCTCGGAATGCGGTCGTTAGTCAACCTAGGAGTTGCCGTTTTCAATTACATAAGACTCCTTTACCCGTTCACGTCGAGCCCTCTTCAATTTAAAACGCTGATCATAGTCAGTGCGACAAGTATAGTAAGTACTGCTTCAATAGCTGCCATTGAAGACTTCGTGGAGCTGAAACACAAGGCCACGAATGAATCCTGCGCAGTACAAAGCAGCGAGGACAGGACTGGACACATGCTCCTAATGTTGGGACGCCTGATGACACTGTTTGCCTTTGTTTACCTCTATCTTTTACCCGCACTGGGAACAGTTTATCTGTATAAACAAACAATAGGTTCCCTCAGCCGAGACATTGCAGACATGGACAGTAGCTACGATGAGGAGGGGTCGGGAACCGATAGCAGTGATGTCCTGCGCTTGGTCCTCTTAGAGCTCGAGAAGACAATGATACTCGACGGCTTAGCCATGATTGTCTTCTTCGGCAATGTATTTGTCATTTCGTTCATACAAAGATTCTGCTACGCCGCACTCGACGTGGAAATGAGAAGGGGATCTGTTGGACCGCAATTGAGGAGATTATTTGCTTCCACTTACTGCACCTTCTACATTATAGTTAGTCTGATATTAAGGCGGGTCTATCGTGCTCCAGCAGAGGATTTGTTAAAACTCCTGAATTATAAGCCAAAAAATAAAGCCAAAAAATTTTCTGTCGAATAAATGAGACATTCAACAGCCGCACTTTTCCAGCGCAACCTTATGATTCAAAGAAAGAAATACAACGGAATCCAGATAAGGATAGTGTCACGTATACGTGAGACCAGTCAGTGCATTACCACAAATCTGATGCAGCAGATCAGGAAAAGTAATCAGGTTTCCACAACCACGCGGTTCACGTTATAGAAAACGCATAAATGGGCAGCAAACACGTACATTCGCGCCTTCCGAGACGGCGCACCAGTACTTGAAACCCTCACCTTACAAAGTGAGCTTGGTCGAATTTACTTAAGCAGTCTCTCTGGATGGACTGAGACATCGTATTTCCAGTAATTAGCTATCCCGACGGCTACCAACCGAAGTAGCTTTAACATACGATAACGCGAACGACAGTAGCTCTTATTTGCCAAGTGCGGTAACCTCGGATTAACTTGGTAAAGAGGACTTTGTCAAACCGATCAACAGGCACCTTTTAAGCATTTGACGTAGAAAGATAGCCAGCGACAAAGTACTCGAAACGGCGCCTTAATTTGGTTAATTTCTAGATCCTAAAACATGCCTCAAAATTTACTCGGAAAATGTAGAATAGACCTGAGGCCGAATAGAGCCATCGCTCCAGTCGAAGGAATGTACCTCTAGAAAAACAGCAACTAGGAGTAGTTTTGTCGCATGTTTGTGCATTACATTCTTCATCAACTAGCATGACGAATTTAAACATTCACATTCACCACGTGTGGGAATATCGGAAATGATATGGGCTTCAATGTTCTTAAATACTATTTAATAAGAAATGCAAATTTTTAGGAAAAAAATCGGCGTGAATCAATTGACCGGCCTTTTCACGATTCTGTCCTGACTGCCACAAGTGCAGTAACATAATGGCCGAGGCGGAAGTAGTAACTGAAACTATTAAATACACAGCAATTATGAAGTAGTTATGCCAAATGAGCATCCTGTGGGAATTAGGGAATGGACCTGATGTACGTAACTGAAGGAGTAGTGAAAACATCAGCATTGATTACGAGCCACTGTGAATCCAAAATCACGTATTCGTGAATAAACGTGTCCGGTTATTCGATTTCGTATGGGATGATTCGAGGTATTGTCACGGTCCACAAGAACACTAATCAGAAGGCGTATTAAACGCTCCGCTTTCAAGGTCTACATTTGGTGAAGCCACAACTGGTGAGATAGGTTTGCATCTAGATAAGAGGACTTGTACCTACAAAAGCAAGCTCCGATAAAGGGTACATTTCCAGATTTGTGGCTCGATTGACTAACCAACACACACATTTTACCCGGACAGCCTTGACAGTTTTGTGTACTCCCACATAGAAACGCGATTGGCAGTACACTCTACCCGTCTTTAAAATGCAAATTAGTGCATAAAATAACGGTACCTGCGAAGAGCCGTTTCATAATACGAAACTAAATTTACCAGCAACTCACGATAAGAGGCATTACCAAGGCGCACCATGCTATAAATAAGTTGAATTGACATTTGAATAGAGTTAACGCTTGTGGGCAGGCGCCTTGTTTGGATGCCTTCCATCTACCTTAATTGATGCCCTGTTGCTATCTGTGACGGCAAATCATGTGCTTTGCCTTACGAGGATATCTAAATATTCAACTTGAAGTAGCTTTTTCGGTAATTTACCCAACTTTCAAGGTGCTTAAAAGTGATAGCTGAATACATTAAATCTTCCCCCGATCCTTCACACTCGTCGCATCAACAAATTTATTAGAATCAAATCAAAGCCACGATAGCCTTGAGAAGATAATATTTCATTGTTCACGTTGTGGGTTTAGTTTTCAAAGAAGTCAGCTATGGAATTTGGAGTGTGCTTACTCCATTCGGCTTATGAACAATTTTATTGGTAACAGATTCAGATTGATGGTTTCTTTGCGTTAACTTTTCCATCGAAAATCTATTTTAACTGCTGCGAATCATCTCAACAAGAAGCTTGATCCAGAAACAAGGGAGAAAATTACGATACAAAGTTATAAGGCCAGTAGCATGATTTTTTAATCCAGTGGCTTGCAGGACAGACATGACGACAAATGTAATTTGCCACCGAAAAATCAAACAAATATAAATTAAAGTCAAGCTACGTATACATACAAAGAAAGTCAGAGCTATGATCTTCACAGGGTAATTCATCACTACTATGACAGAGGTGACAAGAGATATCACATAAAAGACCAACTGAATAAGTCTGCTGAATATTACTTAAAAACCGCTTCATATCTAATACACGTACATCAAGCATAACACTTTAAAAATATTACCTAAATACAGGAAGAAATCGGCATATCTGCACTCATAGAGCGAAGTTAGATATTCCTTTACGGCTGGAAGACTGTGGAGGACTTCCTGTATTTCAGAGCCCATGATTACCTACAATAAAGAAGTTACTACTTAAACCCATATCAGTACGTCTTTATGAACTATGATGGATTACACGGGATACATCGGGAAGGTGTAAACTCGAGTCCTCAAAACTATGCACACGTAGTTATGGCCCTCATAGATGGCACACACAACCGCACTCTTCTTCTTAAAGAGAATTTCACAAGATATATCACAATTTAATTGAACAAAATATAGCACAAGTTCATGGGAGTTTTCCTCCTTAAAAACATTAGTCCTTATTCACTATGGATTAAGCACCCCACGGGATTTACCATCTGAGTGAATGTGTACGGCATAACTCTCCTTAACATAGAACAATGATCCAAGGCAAAATGACCTTGAGTGCTAGCTGATAATTTATGCTTTACATGCATAGCAACACTTGAATCAAATAGCTTGAGAAATATTTCAGGCAGCCATGCGTGTATTTGATAGAACCAGTAAAAAATAGCACAAAACCAAGGGGCATTTCAGTTTCATTAGGGATGATTCTTTTAGATACTGTACGAAAGCTCAGAAATTCACACCAGTCATTCTATTACTCCCCTTTTATACTGCCGTAAGCCAGTTTTTCTTTGGACCTTGTGCATCAGCGTGTTTTTGCTATTACAGCACTTAAATGCGTTAAGTCGCGTTATGAGAACTAAAACAGATAAGCACCTTTGAACGAAGATCCTGCCGTTTAAGAGCAATCATGGACGTAAGCACTGTGTAGATAATGAAGCTCTTATAATCCATAAGCTCGTAGCTTGTAAAAGTAGCGACAGCATCCAAAAAGTGCTTAGCTGATGCGTCGAAGTCCCGAATGGACAGGCTGTGTAGTCCCCGGTAGACCTTTAGACGATTACGCCGATCCCAATCGCCTCCTTCCTCGATTAGACTGTTGGCCTTCTCGATATTTGTGGTAATGAGGTCCTTGTCATTGAAGAAGAATCCCATGCGGATGAGATGGAAGGTGATATCAAGACGGCACCCGGGCAGCACTGTTTTGTCGAGGATGGTGCGGAACTGGGTCAACGCGTCGGCCTTATTGCCGATCTTGCTGAGATAGTGCGCTTTGGCTATCATCGCATCCCGAATTTCCGTTTCGCCTTCGGACTCCTCTGCCTTTTTAATATTTTCCTCCAACTCCTTCATTTTAGCTTCGTTCGCACTCTGCATTTGATTTATGAGATCTTCATCCTCTTTTAGCTGTAGTTGGTCACAGACAATCTTGTAAAATGGTGTCATATCTACGAAAAATGTAAGTGACGGTTTTCGCAGGATTACAAAACATCAAAAATAAAAAAATGCACGACCGGGTTTTGCCAAAAATCGTCGGATCTAGCAACTTGAAAAAATATTTAACAAGATTTGTAACACTTATAAATCAGAAGATTATCAACACCACACAGTACAACATTGGATACTGTTGTGACATGTAACGTAATATGCAAAATACCGAGGATAAATAAGAGTCTTAAAATAAGCTTTAGGAAAAATTTATAAGCAAAAAAATTTTAGGCATGTATCCTGATGTGGGTGGGATGCATTGACATAAGACAACCTATATAAGCAAAAAGTCAAGATTACTATTGTTTGGTATTTTTCCAAAAATATAAAAGCGGATAGAAAAAGAACAAACTGATTACTTGAAATATTCAAAACACCAATATAGAGATGGTAGGTAAGGTTTACAAAGTGATTCGGTGTTAATTTCATGATGGATAAAATGGGACTTAAACTCGCGAGGTGGCAACTCCCGATAAACGCGAAAACGAGGGCATACCAAAGTGTGTCAACATAAAGTAAGTCACATAAAGTAACAGAAATGCCAGAGATAACCACAAGGCGTTCAGATTATAAAAAAGTTAAGTGCGTATGAGTTACCTTAGATTAGCATTTACTGTTTATTAACATCTAATATGTGCTAATTCGACATCATTTATTGGTAAAATATATATATATATATAAACCATACTGTCTGCTTGGATCACTGTCATTATTTGTTCCACAAGATCGGCTTTTTTATCCGCAGAAGTGCGACTAAGGCTAGCTTGAAAAAGCCATTGCGACAGACGAAGATCTGGAATTCTCTCCAATCCCTCATCCTCAAAAGACTCGACCGGCATTATTACTGATCGAAGAAGTTAAATAGTGCGGGTATTCGCTTACTTAAAAAAAGTTAGTTTAGAATCGAAACGCAATAATTTATATTGTACATTGAAATTGTGTAAAAACTGTAGGAAAAAAATAGTTTTTTATGCTCCCAGTTTAAAAACAAATAATTTGTAGTGCATCAAATTAAGTGGGTTTCTGACATTGAGTTGCAATACTTCTGGCACTTGGAAACATTAGTTTCGTGTATTTCATCAATTCACGCGTCTTTGGTACTAAAAATATAAAATTAAACGTAAATTCTTTTGCTAAATTTTCATTGACGTTACCAGACGCTACAGGCAATAATAAACAAATGCCATGTCAGCAATGTACTTTTTACAATTGCATTTTACTTTATAGGAGGCTATAAAGAAACAAATTTCATGCTCTTTCTACAAATTATGCAAAGATTATTTGTTTAAAGCAACCTTAGCGGCAGCGCCTCCTTAAATGTCCAGCCTCTGTAAACACTAGTGTCAACAGAAATCCTTTAGGTTAATTTCAACTTTTGACAATAATTTTCTCTACATCTTTATCAGATGATTTGTATTTTAATTCTGTTTAAATCGTATCCGGCTGCAATATGTTTTTTTAACTTTTGCTACTCTGAATAATCCCTGTCAAGAACATTAACCTAATATGGAGATGTCAAAGTCGATTTTTTGGGTTATATAACATTTAAATTTTTTATAAATAAATTTTAAATAGCATATTGATGCTCTCTAATTGTTCATATCACTGTGGATGCAAAATGAAATTGGTTACATATTGAGACAGCTCTGTTAAATTTTTTTCAAATCTTATACTTTTAAATATCAATGTTTAATTATTGCTGCATACTTACAGTTATTATTTTTATCATTCAATTTTCGGGAAACCTATCGATTTGTTTCAGACAGCAATTGAATTAGGCATCATCTCTCATATGAAATTGCTCATTGTTTCAGTATGAAGATTGTAGTATTAGAACCAAACTTAATCCCCGTCAAAACCTGATAATACTTAAGGTTGTGTAAATTTGACCAAGAGTCAGTTTCACTTTAGATTTCCTATTTAACTTTTTTGTCGTAATTCTATTCGTAATATATATTTCCTTGATTTTCATTTAAACCTCACACTTTCAACTGACAGTTTTAGTTGAAAGAATTATACACTTATGAGATATTTCCTTGTTAATATTTTAGATGGCAGTTACATCGGACGCCTCTGCGAAGTTAGAAGAGGAACAGGATCCAGTAATTTGTCGTGACTGGTCTGCGAATTCTTTGGGCAAATTAACAGCCCGTGACTTCGGTGTTTATGAAATTGATTCCAAGCTTTCCTCCAAAATGTTGCAATCGTCTCTACAAGCAGGAATCAATTTGAACCAAATAGTTGATATAGCTAATGGTTAGTTTGGGTATGGAAGCTTCCCCTATTCCTCATTTAGAAATTCAAGTCAAAAGCAAAAGTGCTACTGAGAAGGCAATTACTGATTCCCTGAACCAAGTGGATGTTCTGTTTGAAGACGCAACATTTTTCTCGATGGATAAGGCAATAAATGAAGTTGTGGGACTACTTTCTATTCGATTACGAGTAAGCGCTATTATGATGTTTAGTTAAATCCTTTTAAGTCATTCACTTCCATTGAATTCCATGGCGTTTATAATGTATGTATTATCCTTCTACTACTTCAGTAGAATTCAAAAATAAAGTGCAATAACATCGTTCTTTAGTTTTTTCGCACTTATACTGTACTAACAATTTTGGATTTATAAATCTAGTTTCTTTATTTTTTTAAGATTTTCGATGTATTTTAACTATCGTAAGTTAAATGATACTTTTGAACGATTTTTGGAACAAAAATGCGTAATGAATCCGCAATGCATCTTAAACGTTTTCCTTTTTTAGGAAGAATGTAATCGCCTACGATCGGAGGTGCACACATCAATTCTAAATATAATCTCAACGGAACTGTCAAAGTACGCGTTACTTATACACAGTCTGTAACCTGGTTTGTTGTTTAGGACAAATTGTTCGTTTGGTACTCTAATCTACCAACTAGAAAGTTTGCGCGAGCTAGCCAAGCAGTATGAATTGCAGCTAGCCAAACGCGAGAGTGTTATTGAAGTGTTAAAGTCAGAAAATGCACAGGCTAAGGAAGCATCTGAACGCAAAGTCCTTGTCGAACGAAATTTGCGCAAAGTAGGTCCTTGATTTTCTGAAGAAACACACTTGACGGCCTGCATTTTTTTAACCAATGTATAAATTGAGTTATATACGTTTCTTGTTGGTTTCATCAATCTCACGCCTTGTAATTTTGTGCAGTTATGTTGGTTACTATGATTATCTCAGTAAACTTGCTTATCACTCGACATCACTTTATTTCCCGTGCTTAAGAATCACTGGGTAGATTCACATTATCACAGTGGTCACAAGAGCCAGCTTGTCTCATTCACCTAAGACAAAGTTTCTGAACCATGTCGGTTTTAATAACGCCAAATAGCTAATTTTCGCAGAACCTGACCCAACTTAAAAAGCCCTTTTTTTCTTGGGTTTCTAGCTTGTGGTTAGAAATTATCAAAGTCTTGCTTCAGCCACTCGTGGTTCAGGAGACATCCGATTTAAAATTCGTCTTATTTTGTGCTTAGAAAGTCTACAACCAGCTGGCTTTCGCACACGCTCGTCGAGTCCTCATGCTGCGTGTGTGGACCTCGTGGAAGAGGAGTCTTGAATGCACATGGAAGCGACGCGTTCAGAAGCGTCTTGAGAAGGAGGCCCAGCAAGCGTGTATCAGAATCTCCCAAGACTATGAAATTAAAATTGCAGAAGTGTGTGCTAGCATTTGTAATGTCAATGCAAATAGGTCATACAAGTTACTTATCAAACATTTAAGATCTCTATGCAATAGAGCCACTATGAGTCTCCATTCGTGGTGAATGTAATTTCCGTTTTTCAGATTAAAAATGGCTGAGAAAGTATTAAGTGTCTATATTTTGCACCTCTGTAGACAATCGTAAATTTGCCAACACGTGATGACACACTGGCGACTTTGTTTTGAGTCGAATTTTAATTTTACCTAAGACTACAATCTCAAGTAGCACCTCATAACCTTTCTTTAATGATGAAACAATGAACGTATTAGAGAGTGCTTTATAGAGCAAATTCTGTCAAGAGTAGTCCTCTTCACTGCTTATTTGTTAACGATATTTTACAGAAAATCCGGGGATATCACTGTCGTTCTTCTGAAATTAATTTAAGAATGACAACGCTAATTGCTTGATTAGTTTGTTTTCCGAATTTGTGATCAGGTAGGTAGCATGGAGCTTAAAAAACCCTTAGATCTTGGTTCACATCTACAAGAGATAATTAGTTTCGGTTTTACTTGAAATGCTGCAAAATTGTCAGATAAATGGTACTTGCCGTAAACCTATGAATGAGACGCGGGACGTAAGAAAAGTGCTTTTGTTAATATGATGCAGCTTAAACCAAACTTTGGTAATATTTTTTTAGGATTTCTCACTGCGTTTAGATTTTTGAAATTCTTATCAATTTTTCTAGCCTTTTAAGAAAACTCGTAATTATTAATATTACGTAATGCAAACGCACTTAAAAATTACCTATTGCTAAACTCAGGAGTGAAGGCACTTCCCTGATGTATTCACTGCACTTGGCCTAGTGCAGTAATCCAAAGTGGATGGGTAGTATTGAATGTCGTGTTCCCTTTCCCCCCTTTGACCCAGCTCCGTGAACGCCTGCAGGCCGCTGAATTGAGGTGCAAGAAGGCGGAGATGCTGCAGGCTCGCACTCACGAAAACTTGAAGTCGGCCTTAATGCGCGGCGTTTGTGCTCTCAACATGGAAACAATGTCTGTGCTGCAGCCAGATGATGCTGAAATCTCCGGCGAGTCGCCTGTCGGCGGTGTCAGCGTGCCCTCTGCTAGGGTCTATCGGGAAAACAAAAACTGGGAGATAAATAAAGGTAGCAACTCTAAGTACCTCATTCACACGCTGACTCTAGACCACAATTGGTCAAGTCAGTTTTCTTACGAGTACAGACGCGTCCTTAGCAGTTGAAGGACTAAGATTCCCAATATGTGTTGTAATTTGTAGTTATGCCACCCTTGTTTATTTTAGACTGTCGGTCGCCGACCACCACGTTGGGTGACTCTGCAATCATGAAATCCTGCGTTGAATCCGAAAAACCAGTATGTGAATGGAACTGTCCTCTTTTAGAATTGGGAGCACTTAACCAAACATCCAATTATTAAATTGGATTTTCACTAATCCAACTATACTTAATAACTAGCCCATAATTTTGGAAGTTCGCCTGGAATAGTAATTTCAAATTCAGCTGAAATGCTTTACTGCATGTGAAGTCAGTGCAATACTTCGAGTTTACCTCCATCAAAATCCATACTGGCATGTTACGAGGAGCTGAATCTGTGTTTTTTGGGGTACAAAGTATTCTAGCTACTGGAACAAATTTCAGGAAAGACTGCGGTCCCCCGATCGTTGGGCTCACTCTCCCCCCAACGAATGCAGCACGTCTGGCCGCAACTTCAGCGCCTCGAGGGTGAAGTTTGCGGACGAACGACCTTCCCGCGGCGTGTTCGCCTCCATAGAGCCCGTAGATGTGGTCACTGCAACCTTCGCCGGCTTTGACATTAACCGCAGCCAAAATGGCGTCTTCAGGGCCCATACCGTCCAGCACGGCGCACCAGCTGGACCGAGTGTCTACAGCTCTGCGTCATTCGGAACCATTCAGGTCCAGCGGCATAACTCGACAAGTCAGGTTTGTTTTGTTTGGCTCAATGCTTTTGGTTGATGATAGGGACCTTAACAATGTGACGGTTAAAGACACGTGTGCATGTGTACGCTTCCTATCTCTTCTCATCCAAATATTTCCCCCAGTGACGTTGGCTCTAAATTAACATGAGCAGGCATTCACCCGATAAAGGCATTAGAACCAGTACCAGCCTGTCCATTCTATTTTAATCTATGTACAAATCACGTTTATATTGTAGTTTCGACTTGCAATGCTGTAGTCGTGAATTTTAACTTTGTGCAACATTGTTTCCCAGAATTTTACTTCCCTTTATCTTATCGCATGCCTTTTAAACCATTCAATGCAATTTCGATGCTCTTTTGGGCCTGGGAAATCTTATCTAAAGAGGGAGCTTGACTTTAAACATTTCCAGCAGATGTTTATATTCCCGAAGAAGCCAAATCTATCTATTCCTGTAGAAGTTTGTGTGACGCCTTCAGAAAAAAGAGAGGGATTTAGTATTTAAGAGGACTTAATTATTAACTTAAATACTCAAATTGGCCGTATGCTCCTGGGTAGAAACCGAACGAGTAAAACATAGGCATGATGTTACACTTTAGTAAATAGTAAGTAGGAAGGGACCGAAATCAAGTCGTTTTAAAGGTGCCTTACAGCTGCCATGTATTTGTTTGTTGTAGTGTTAATGACAAAGTTATGTACTTTCATGTTTTATTTTACTTGAAAATGATAGATTCGTCAAACCGCCCCACCATTTATCGGAAATCAAGTTAGGAATAATCTTCGATCTTCAATCGTTCGTTGTTCCAAACAAAGGAAGACTTAGCTAATGAAGATGTGTAGTTTTATTCGCCCATCCACCTTCCGTCTATTTGCACCTGCGACATTTTACACCTGCTAATGCATTGTATTTTCACATTAATTTATGTACTTCAAAATTTATTCACTGAACTAACTTTCACTATTCCTGTTTTAAAGTATAGCTAGCCCTTTTTAAAGAAATCGTTTTGGAATACTTAGGTAATAGACTGGACATTCCGGCTGAAACCAAACCTCGAAACTGTCAAAGAAAAGGCAACAATTATTTGTGTTGTTGGATAGTGGTCTGTAAATATTATGCCTACTTAAAGTTTTAAGTAAAGTGAAAAAAATAACTTCCAGTGATTTCAAGAAGGAATTAGATTTCATTAAAACTGCTCCTTAGTCCCACGGAATTTGTTAACAATCTCCACAAAAATTGTGCTAATTACGAAACCAATTATCACCACAGAAATAAAAATAGCAAGCAAATACTGCTTTTCTTCCTGAGGTAACGATATCAGCGGTTTCTAAAAAAATAGGATGAAAAACCATTAATTCAATGGCCTTTTAAAAACTATAAGGGTCAACGTACAAATGTTTTCATCTATGCACCTTTGGGCTGCCACTGGTAATGTCAGACTTTTCCATTGAATGGAGTTCTTTATGCTTTTTAATAGTGTTGGTCCATCAACTAATCAAATACTTCTCGAGAATTTAATCAACCTCATAACTAACTGAATTAAGTAATGGAGAAGGCAGGAAATTTTTCAGCTTCTTCATAAGTTGTGGCAGTTAAAATATATGATGCCTCAATTAGCGTATTTCCTGTTTTCCAGCCCAACCTTCAGATATCGTAAGCCCTCTTTCGGAGATCAGTTGACAGGCGACACACACTGGTGTTTCCCTGATGTTATTCCGCACAGCTATTTACTTTATGCAGTATCTCGATCAACATCTTTTGGACTACTTAGGACATTCTCTTAGTCCTTATCAATGACCAATGCAATCAAAATCTGAAATATTTTCTGTTCGAATTTGTACGCTTGGGGCTCATGATCAAAATACTGTAAAATGTACAATTTAATCGAAATAGTTAAGATGAAAAAAACTGCATTCATTTGTTCAAGCTCTGGGCAACATTCCGGCAACATGCCTCAGCTTAAACTTAAATCACTCAAACTGGACACCGAACAAAACTGGAATAAATGGGCTAAAATATTACGCACCTCATCTGTGTATTTCAGAAGCAAGTTGTCAACTGCCAGTGCAACCTCCGGTGCAATTTCAAAAGTTTTTCTTTTTTCACCTGTGCACAGTGTCTGAATCTTGCACCGTTTCCATTCTTTAAATGTCCCCTCACAAACACGAGTCTCCCGAACTGTGCAAAAGGCCTGGGAAGCCCTGTAGCCCACGCCCGAAATCCCGGCCTTTCCGGAAAAAATGTTTGCATCAACGCAGTGCGGATAGCACGGGGACCACGCGGTCCAGGAGTTCCGTTCGGGGCCTCCCCTCCATGAAGCACAGTGGTCGCCAAACCAGTTAGCTGGGCACTTGCATGAAGAGTTTCCGTCACAAGCCGCATGCTCATCACCTGACGAACCCAACCCTGCAGCCGCAATAACGCGGTGCGGAGTGATCTCTGGGCCACTAGGTTGAGCGGGATTGAATCCTACACATAGCTGGTTGTCACACGGACTTTCGATTTCCCCGAGGCAGTTTGGGAATTTGAGTGTTTTCGAGGATCGGAAAGGGCGAAGACACACACATTTGTATCTCTCGGAACCTAGAATGGGAATGCACAGGTTTCCATTGTCAATTCTACAAGCTGCATTACCAGAGAGACTGCTTCCAGCCGGGACGTCTTGGCACCCGTTTTTAAGGCTGTGACAATGCGTGGTCACACTGTACTCGGAATAGCAATGGCACAACGCTCGGTCTGACGCCACTTTGGTGCATTTGAATGTGTGCTGTTCATGGCACACCTGGCAAGGATCGTAGGGTCGTGGTTTACACGAAACCACAAAAGGAGGCTTTTTCTCTGGTGTGAATTCTCGAGTCAAGTAGGTTGTTGGTGTGCATGTGCAGGTGTAGGTCTCTGGCAAGTGTCGTGGAGCTACTCGGCAGCTTCCCGGGCTGCACGCAGCTGCCTCTTCATCTGTGCAATTTTTCCGCACTCGGGCCTTTTCTGCCAGGATATCACTCCACGCTAGCTTTACGAGGATGACTGAAATTAAGAGAGCAGAGCCTAGTCTGTGAACCCACATGCAGTTGGCAATCGATTGAAATGCGTGGTACTTTCAAACGATGAATTTCATTACCTAATCTCCACTGCTTCAAAGGTTTCGCATCGCGACTTAGCCTCGTCAACAAATTATTCCAAATTTATCGTAAATAAATTATAATTTTTAGGTTTTTTTTTCTGAAACGTACGTATTGGCAAAAATCGACGTCAGTGCTTTTTTGTGAATTACCTTTGCTGTTTGCTTTTCGAAGAATCCACCATTTGTTGACAATCATGCATGCAAGTAATCGACAGCTGACACTCAGTGCAGTAAAAGCTAGCTTTAATTCGATTAATTTTTTGCTATGTTGCCTTGCTACGTTAATTCAAGTACCAATTTATGTAATGGAATCATGTGTCCCTTTTTTGTAAATTCAAATATATATTTATCGTTGAAACCATCATAAATTATGTTAAAGATCGTTTTCGGAGAAGATGTGCTGGATTTGATCGTTCATTTGTGTGTACAGTAAAAGATTTCTTTTTTACCATCTTAATGCCTAAGTTTTTGGGCGAATTTACTTTTTTTCCGTGGTGAAATCTTCCTGTATTTCCAAGTGCATATCGTGAATTCCGCTAAGGATTATTTTGTGAATGGAGACTTTACTGACTTACCTACTAAGTAAGCTAATTATCCTTAGGTTGATCGCAATCGTAAATGTAAGTGGCAGTGACCAAATGAATGCAGATCATGTTATTGGTCAACATTTTTACACAAATCCATAGATCTGAACGAATCTACGAAGTTACAGAAGGTTGGATTAATTTTCTGTTAAGAAGTTGAATCATCGTACTTATGAGTGGATGACAGTATGGAGTAAAATACAATCACGATTGCTCAAATCAGCCACCAAATCACTTGCTTCATTTGGTACCAGAAGAATATAAATTGTTTGAATCGGCATAGATTTTAAAAGTGACTTTATGACAATGTTTATCGTAGAACGACTGTATTACGTCAAGGAATAATCAAATTTCAATTTTTAACTCATAAATTGACAGCCCAATTTCGACCATACAATGTCAGCATTAATTTTGTTTTCACTGACACTGTTTACGATCCTCTCTAATCGTTTCACCAAGTTGTTGATCCCGTTTTGTTAAAAATCGCCAGGTCTAGTTCCATATTGTTTGTTAGGTCAATTCTTAGGGGTTGTTGTTGTTGACTATCATGTCTCTTATTTGGCTTGAAAGCGAGCTTAAAAGATGGCAATTTAACCAAGCGATATCCGGACTGTGAGAAGGATGCATCAACGCCTCCTAGCCGAGTTCACCGGTGCAGATTCATTGGATGTCAGCAATCAAATCACTTTTTTAAATAGCCATTTTTCAAAGGTCTGATTCTGAGCAGGTTTTTTGTGGTGAATAGGGTAATCACAGAGCCACCTCACACAAATTAGCGCCTTTTTGAGAATAACGATCTTGCCTGATTGGTGGCGTTGCTTACTCATCCCCACCCATCCACACTATTATTTGCTCAAACTTTTCGCAATCCTGATTTGTGTCAACTGGGGCTCGCGTGATTCGCGTGTAAATGAGCCCCATCCGTGAACCGATGATATTTGAGATCTTCAATTAACTCATGCGGCACCCTATCACTCATCATGTGAGCCTTGTCTACCTACCTTATGTTTTAACACAAGGTCTTGTGATCGCAGTCCATTCATTCGACTGACTTCAGCGTGATTTGGCCTTCATTTCCTTCGAACAGTCTGCATCAGTCTCAGTTGGTTGGCCGGAACTAGGTTTGTTAGTGAGGTCAAAACTGCTACTTTTAAATTTCATAAAACATCTTGTGCAGTCGTCTTACTATTACAGTTTACTTCAAAGACTTGGCTTTTGGTGTCATTGAGCAGATTCTATCAATTTAGTCTCCATTTTCGGACTTAAAATTAATAAAGGTAAAACACCGTGAACACCGACTACAATGTCTCTGTAGAAGAAGCAAGCTCGTTTGTAAACATACTTAAGGTGGCCGCAAAATATGGACTTAAATTAGGGGCAAATGAACCTACCACGCGACCCTAGAGGCGATCACACCTTTCAGTATCGATTTTGGTTGACATTTTCCACACAAGGCGCCTACGATGTTGCTCAGCAACTGCGAAACAAATATCCCATCTTAAAATAATTAGATGCGAAATGAACCCAATACTAACTCCACACCGGAGTAACTTTATTGGCTTGTTTGAGAAAATATTGGGCCAAATAGGGCCTCACACTTCCAAACACAAGCAGCATTGTCCAGAAAATATTTGAGAACTCGACATAAAATAGCCTCAAATTGAGATCCACGGTTTATCAATGTGTTACAAGTAATCCGGATACCTTTGCAATCCCTTGCATTTATAATGAATAGCAGTCAGGAATAATTCATCGCGTTTCATCATCAGACTGATTTGCTTACTCGAGCAAACTTGTGTTGGTTTCGATTTAATTTCGTGGAAAGCTATCCCAAGGTTAGCGCCTTCAATCTGCGTTATCGTGCATGCTATGACAGCAGTTTATCAGATTCTCAATGATCCAGTGGAGGCGGGTTGTCAGCTGACTAAAATTTCAAGAATAATATCAACACTTTAACGATAAATTTGCCTTATTTGCAAAAGGTGCCGCTTTTCTTGTTCCATTTAGAACTTAGAACGTAGTTATAGGCCTTTAATAATTAGGGAAAACGTTGGGTTTATAAGGTCAACAGCTAAGCCATGCTAATAAGGAGAGGACAAAGCTCCATTACCTTAGAGGCAAAAGCGCTGTAAATTGTCTTGGTTTTTTTTACTATTTGTGAATGCTGGTTTGCCGAGTTTTTGCCTGGTAAGCACCTATCTTTAATTATAACGCCTATTAAGTAAAAGTATTGCCTAAGTTTTTGTTCCAGTTAAACTGGCAATTGTTGACCTTATATTAACCGATGAGATGCGTTCTGTTTCACAATTTTACATTGCGTCCTTGTTAGGGTTCAGACAATAAAGGTTTCAGATGCACGTGACTAAGCCCACATGTTTGCTATACTTGTGTTTTTGGCATGGCTTCTTAAGTTTAAAAAAAGGGCCAGTCACAAATTTGCATTCAGTCGTTCCTTTACTATCTCCACTTATCTGGACTGTTCAAACCAGAAGAATGACAATTCATCCGCTAGAAATTTACTGATCAACTCCCATGCTGTAGGTCACTGTCAATGCGAAGTCTGAGTTAGCTGCACTGTGTATGCACAATGTTGATGTTGAATCCTTCAGAAGGCGAGAAAACACGTCACTGGTAGGCTGACGTCCACACCCACGTCGTTCATGCACGCACACACAAACACAATTGTACGGTCACATCTAGCGGCAGTCGTACTGCCTTCTATTTGCTTGGCCTACACTCTACCCTCCCACACCTCCTCCTTCCCTTCATTTATTTTGGTCATACCGCATAACTTAAACTACGGAGTGAGGGCGTGCTCTGCCAACATCCCGGTTGCACGCAGACTGGCCTCAACATTCGCGCCGTTGTGAATTGTTCAAGTAAAGAGAATTATCCCAATCACCTAGACACAAGGCTGCATTGAATGGGCGCTGACTGTCCATCTAGAATAGCCTTACTTTTGGGATGTACTATGCATTGCACTAGGAATAAAAACGGTTTTTACGAAGGGAGGCAATGCTCTCCGTAGTTTCATCAGTGCGTAATAAACTGGAGTAGATTGATACACATGATTTTCCACTCATGTGCTATCCTATTTTAAGAAAATAAATTAATGGTTATTAGGATTTAGTGTGACAGGTTTGAAATGCTCATTCTGTGTTCTTGCATCAAAATTCGCCTAGTATGCATCAAGCAACAGAATTCGAATTCATCAAAGATCATGTCTGTAGAGACTAAAATTAGAGTAAATACGGATTTCGTTTTTGCATTGAAGTGGTTTAAAGTCAAACTTTAGCAACATACGATGCGCCAAACAGTAAATAATCTTGGCGACTCGATTTGCTGATTTGCCAATGATCAAAACCACCGCGCACCCACCTCACATTACTTATCGCAGGTTTGCCATCACGTCTTGATTTTGATACTCCACTGGAAGGTTTTCGACGCACATTGAACTAGCGTTAGATTGCCAACATATCGGTATGGGCTCTTCACTGTACGAAAAACCAATGCCTTATAAATCGTGTAACCGCTGATTTGTGGGTTTTTAGTTCCTATAAAAGTAGGTTTCTGGAACTTGCTAACTTTAATTATTTAGCACTGCTTTTACTCAAGATGTGTGTCTGAAATGGCCAGCTTACGCTCTATTGTTAACAGTAAATTACCACTAACCTATTTCAAACTGTAAAAACATTGGCTAGACTAGTGTAATTATTTCGATGATTTTTGGACAATTGAGAAACCTACCCAAAGTAGGACTTAAAATTGATGCCGAAAAGACTGATCGACGTCTTATTACCTAAATGAAAATCAAATTGATCTGCTATCTTTATAATTCACAAGAATCCAGTAAAATATTGGCTTATTGATTGGGTAAGCCAACATCCGATTGCGGAAGTCTGGTCTACAACGTGATGACGTGAGGCTCTTGGTTGAAGCGCTATGGCCCATTTGCAAAAGCGCACGAAGATGGTGGGGAGTGTGCGTATGTGCGTAGGTTAGCGAGAAGCCAGCACTAGCGCCTATCGTTCGCATTCTGGCTGGCGCGTATCGTGCAAGTGCGAGTCGCTGCACTGCCCGACTTGCCAGCTGGCTGCCTGCCTGCCTGCCTGCCCGTCGTCCCGGTCCGATGCAGTGCTGCAGCGGCGGCGGCAGAAGCCGTTGCCTCACCCATTCAGCCGAGGCGCTAATTACGGCGTAGGATAGCTTCCGTGCCAAAAGAAGTGGCTGGTGAATAAAAATGCTCCACTTGACTTCTGCAGGCAGTGGAAATAGTGCCCAGGCGTTACTCGGACTTTTTGATTACGCAAAAATATTACAGCACGTACTTACTCTTAGCAGTGTAATAATTCTATGGGGCATGAAATTATTGCCTAGGGTGTAAAACTAGAAATTAGAATTCGGTTGCTCTACGTTTCTTGGTGAGAAATTTAGACACCTCTGCTGAATTCCTGAAAATTATCTGTCTCACCATTAGGTCATAAGGCGCACGTATTGGAGCCAACACGGGACAGGTATTAGAACGCGTGTGTCTCTCCCAGGTGGTACAACTTAAGCCCATTAAACCTCAGGATGGACCAGTGTTAAATTCTTGATTGAAAGCGGTTGGTGAAGAACAGTTTTAGTGGATTTCGCGTTCTTGACTAGTGATTGAAAATTCCACACTTGCGTGTCATTTCTTATGTCACCAACTTCTGTTCGTGTAAAAGAGGTTCTAGCCAAGTTGAGGCTTAAAGCTTTGGAGTTTTTCTGAATAGTGATAAATTCGTACACTGGTCACTGTACACTATTGGGTTTTAAACCACAGTTCATTTAGTGGGCTTAGGGATCTCCAAATATAATTTGTGTGTCATTAGCTAAATTTACTTTACCCAAAAGCATGGGCCTTGACATAAGGCATAGTCAAAGCTTACTTTTTGACCCTGGTGACGCCAGAACTGCCTAACTTCGGTGCCAACATTTTTATTGATGTTAAGGGCCACGCGTGCTGAAGCCTAACAGTCCAACGCGGCAACCCTATCACCACTCGCCATCACCTTAGCATATGGCAAACATTTCTATTACTAAACGCGAGGGAATTAACCCTTGAAAAATTGTTGAGGGATTTATGCTCTAAAATAACACTAGTTCATATCGGCCCAAACTAGAACCACTATAAGTCTGCTAATAATTGCATGGCTTTTGAAAAGATGGGATTTTGGTATTGACAATATTTTGGTGGAGTAGAACAGACAGTTTGGCGCATCTGATGTCTCGACATCCCAAACTAAAGGACATGGTAGTAAGCAGCAAACTTGCTTAATTAGCAATCTTCTTCATACCAATTCGGTCCAAGTTACGGCACATGTTAGTGGAACTAGCGCTTGGCAATTTGACCAGACCCATAGTGACTTAGAGCGAGCGTCCAGCGGTCTATGGCACAAGGGAAACAAGACAAGGAACCTGCAGCCTAAAGTCTAATGCGTTTGACGCTACAGTGAATGTTGGTAACAATATTGCCTAGCTACAATGTATTCATAGTATCCTCACATTGGCACCTGTGCTATCAGCAACTTTTAACTTGTCATTCACTATATCAGCAGAACGAATGAAAAAAACCCCTTGGTAGAACAGTTGCATTTTTCCCCTAAACTGCATTATGTGACCAAGACTTTAATTTTCTTAGGAACTGATATTTATCTTTGCAGAATTAATTATAGTGCATTAAATGATATGTTAGCTTTAATTGTGAATTGGAACCATGAAAAAGGCATTAAACGAAGCCGTTTTATGGGGCACCGCGTGCGTATTTCGACATGACCATAATTTTCATGCTATCATCCCTACTATGTGACTAGAATGCATTTTGTTGCTTTACAGTACTGTTTTCCCTAACTTAATCACTTTTTTAATCGAGTGTTTTCCGACATTACTTTGTCATAATACTAGTCACAACTTAAATTAAAGCCTATCCACCTCCTTTGATTTAGTGATCATACTCCGTGGAAACAGGTGACATCAGTGTTTTAAACTGCTTTGGTCAATGACTCTATTCCACCTCTATAATGTTATTTTCACTACTACTCCAGCGGCAATTTGTCGAAAAGCTGATATAGGTGACGGTGAATTTGCCTAGCCAGGTGAGCTTTCTATGGTTAGTGTCCAAAGTTGTTCACAGGATGACCGAATATGGCACTCCCTGACCATCGTTCGTGAATTAGTTGTTGTCATTTCGCAACTTAATGAAAGGCTTCACGGCTTTTTACGGTGAGATTTGGTTTTTGTGATGCTTAATGTCGACATTACCAGTGCCACTGAGCAGAGTTAACCATACAATTATCAAAACTTTGGTTTTTAGTAGTTTTGGTTTACTACACCAATTCGGGTTCTGCTATGGATTTTGACTTATGAGATTACTAGGTTTATTCGTCTGATCGTGCCCTCTTATTTTTTCCTTAAAAATGTCACTTTACGTAAATTATAGCCTAGTTATTAGTGTGGTGACAGGTGATTCAGAATGAAACACATTACTAGCAGCTTGACTTTCACTATGAGCCAACGAAAATCATTTTAAGCGCCTTTGATTACCAAAAGCCTCCAACTGAAGGATAAGATCTACTTCCAAAAAAGTTGGACGAGTTCCAAAACTCGTCACTAAGATATCCGAAGTGCTAATTCAACGTTTTAAGGTCCATGCAAACTGCCTGTGTTTGTTGTTTCATTTTGTATATTTAGGACTGCTGACCTTCCGGTTTAGTGTGTTTTCAAATAAACAGCGTGAGCGCGAAATCACAGGAAATCCAAGTAGTTGACTTTACATTTTGTGTTTCTTACAAAACAGCATTGTCAATCTTTTCGATGTAGAACTTGACACAATTAAGAGGATAAGTGCCTTATGTTTCGGTGCTTCAGACTGCATAAGATCATACTACTTTAGAAACGGACGTACATGCGCCGCTTTGCTTTCAACGTCGGTACAAAGAGCAACCAGTGAAGCCATGGTGCTTGGTGTACCCAGATATTGTTATAGTCAGTAAACAAATTTAATCAGCACAGACAAACACAAATAATCGCACTTCTGTTTAGCTCGTTAACGAGTTTTCCCACACTGGTACCTAGGCGAATCGCGTGCAGGCGCTTCACAAGCTAAGACAAGACTGGACCTCGTGCGGAGGCATTTTCCTGTCTCAGCCAAAGTCCGAGTACCTTCAGAATGCATGGCTCATATATGACAGGCATGACCTCGACCTAGTGGACTAGCACTTAAACAACCGGTAAGTACAAAGTATAAATTTGAGACAACACGAAAGTGTGACAATTAAGGTGTTGTAGCTAAAACGACATGCGTGTATGGAAAAGTTACATACTTCGAATTCGCAAAAACATAAATACCTTGGGGAGGGCTGACATCCCAGCAATAAAACAATCATCTTATTTATCCCCAACCACCGCTGGGGTCTCTAAATATTTATCGAAAAGGACCTGCTCCATCGCCACGAAGAAGGGCCGCGATTGACCAGAAGGTGTCAGTGACAAAACTTAGTGCAATCGAGACATCAATGTGACTACAAACGACGCAGCGTAACGAAAACGCCATTTGGTGAGATCATGGCATTGCGAGGCAAAGTTGGCAAAGTCCAAAAGTACAGTTATAACGCCCACACGCTTTTGATCGACCAAACTAACTGTTCCCTGAGCAATAATTTTTAGCCATTCATTTCCGGCGTCAGAACAGGAGTGGTGGGTAGCTCCATTGTGTGAACATTCGACAGCCGGAAACCCTCGTGTGCAGACCCTGTAATGCAAGCAGCACATCTCAATTGTGATCATGAGACGTTACTTTGTATATCCCCTCATAGGTCTCTCGTACACAAACACGCGCACAAATGCATACAGTAGGCGCGCATACCGTGCCTTTAGGAACTATTGTGTGAGCATTGTGAGCTTAAATATCAGTCCTTGAGAAATCAAGCAAAATGAAATAAGGTTAACGATTGCAGTCTGCAAAATAACCTGAACAAGCGAAAACCTATCGGCCTTGAGAATTATGGCCCGGTTAATTCGAAACGTTCATTAAATTGAAATAAAAATTGTACAGGTTTCTGCCAATCGACTTCGCATTTATTTGCAAATCACCACTCACCGGAGTGGAATGATACGACGACTCAATAGTGAAGAAGTATCTCTCCGTTCAAAGTACTAGGATACACTATCCAATAAATTCTTTTGTTAACGTAGAAAACGTGGTTGTAAAACGTTCGGCAGGAAATCCGAACTTGATAGACAGAGTGCCATGACATTTGAGATTACATTTTATTCTTAAACGATTAAAAACATCAACACGTAGTACGAGAGGCGTTTTGATCGAATTGAAGATTTTGTGCCTTATAATATAGTGGATAGGCCAATTGAGCAGAGGCCTACTCAATAGATACAGATATGACTTGCAGGCTCAAAATGCAAAATCAAGAAACTACCACCCACTGTAAGCAACCTGCATCCACAGGTTTCATAGCCTTGAACCAAAACATTCGTATATTCACTGAGTATCAAATTTACCACGCCCGTCTATGTGGTAGTACACTAGTCAATTAAGTAATGTACCAACAGGTGAATGCCAAAAATATTTGCGTAATCTACATCGCTCGAATCAAACGAGCCAGAGATGCATCAGCAACAATGTCCACACACCCAAGACGCGATGACACAAATGAACCGACGGCACATGAAGAACGGAAAGGCAGCAGTAAATCAGCCCACTTATCTCAAAGCCCCATGACACGGGTCATGAGTTTCAGTTTAGGAACGAAGTGACTAGGTTGTTCAGTGTCTGTGATGGCGGGCACCGACGTTAGAGGCATGAAATACTGAAAGCGGGCATCCTAGTAACCACTGGCGTTTCCAGTACACTTAAACTTAGCAGTCTGTTGCACACCACGGCGCCAAGTGACGCACCGCAAGCCAGCACGACACATTAGACAGCAGAAGGAGTAGCCGCTGTGGGGGCACTAATTTGGTAGAAATAATGCTGGTGATATTCAAAATATAAAAACCCACCCATTAATAGGTTTTGCGTGAATTACAAAATGGGGCACTCACAATGAGCGGCAGAGTACAATCTCAACGGAAGCAAAGTAAAATTAAGCACATTGTTTTATTTTGGCTGCAAAGATGCAGAGGGAAAATAGAATCCCTAACCACCATGCACAAGCCAGTGCGTGTCGTACCACAGAACACGAACTATAGGAAGACGGCGGGCACAAGCACGCCAGGTACGTGCGAAAAAGCACACAGTGTGTGCAGAATTCGGCGTGGAAACTGTAAGGATCGCCGGAGCAGAACCACTACGATGCCTGAGAAGTGGGTGGGCGGATGGTGGCAGGCCATTTTTGGTCAAATATATACAGAAGAGGCAGATGCGCGTTAATGTGTACTAATACAAAAAGGAATGAAATGACGCTGTCGGCAATGGTGATGCTGATGAAGGAGCCAAAGACGGGCCTACCCACATAAAACTCCGTAAGGTAAATTATGCGGTAATAAAACAACAGAGGAAGAGATTGAAAGAAAGAATGAGGTAATATTCACAAATGGAGGAGACAAAGCAACAGGGACACAAGAATTAGAGTGGAGTCAAGCATCGTCATATTTTGCGGATTTTCGGACAACGCACCTCGGGGTTGTCGCGAGCAATCTGTTCTTGACCCTGTTGGCGGTAGTCAAACGTGCAGTCATGCTGATCGGAATATCGGTGGAAAGCACAAAACAACCCCTCGCATCGGCACTGGAAGCCTAAAATGTTTTATGACGCATGTCAACACAAGAATACAGTCACTGATTAAATAATTGTTTTTAAAAAGTCAATCTATTGATCCTCAATTTGCTTCATCCCCCCTTCCTCAAGCGCATTCGATTTTGGCCAGCCTTGACAAAATCCTTTATTGTTATGTTTATTTCACTCTTCACAAAAGCACGAAATCGTTTGACGGACGAAAGCAAAGGGAGATGACACACGAAAAGTCCGACGTGCATACGAACACATTGAAGCATACCACTGGAAACTAGAACCTGTTTCTAAGATTACAGTTGGTTTCAAAATCATCCATGAAAATCATTCGAAACGTGTGCCGATTAACGGTATTCCCGTTAGTATGGGTTTTAACGTTTTCGGATGAACAAGGTCGGTTTCCCTTAACGTTTACGTTAACCAAATTTCAAATGATAACTGCAGCACAATCAAAACGCATCCCTGTTATTACATATAGCAATTCAAGAGGTGAGTAAAGTTTGCACGCGAACAAGATATGAACTTGTTCTAGAACCCAAGTAACTATAATGAGTAAACAAAACCAATTCACAACTTCACACGTGAAATCTTCCAGTTCCAAAAAAACATACCGTGGAAATTTAATGCCGCAAATACAATCAAAGGAAGCCTGACTTCGAGGTACAACAGTACGCAAGCCGAACGATGCGTAACAATGCCAATAATAGGGTTTTTCTAATTTTTAAGCCGGGATGGGAAACATGAAAGGCAGCTACCACTTAGGTACCATAAAGTGGATTACCTCAGCACATCATCCAGTGTTGGTCTGAGTGCTTCAGTGAAAAGCGTAAACAATCGTGGAACACCAGCGTTTACGATAACTCACGAGGGTTCAGAAGGGAGCGAGCACGTGTGCAGAGGCAGACTAAAGACAAATGTTTACTACGGAGCAAAATGAACAAGTTCTGTTTTCACAATACGGGAGTTCTGATGGGACACGTTATTGGGAAACAGGGTTCCTAATTCGGAACAGGCCGCCCACTATACCAGAGGGAGCCAGAGCCTACTTTTCAGACTGGCGGGACAATGTGTTAGGAGAATTTTGAAAATCTATGAGATTTAATGAAGTACTTCCTGCCGACCTAAAATTTTGATTCAGGAAAGAGATTAAGGCAATGGTTTTGCAAATAATGTGATGAGTGGAAATAGTGCACGAAAGACATTGCATAACAAAGCTAGTAAATATAACTGAAGTTATTTCTAAAAAGGCGATTAAACGTACCCGTGAGACCAACACGTTTCCTGCATTTCAAGCAACGATTTACGGTACGCTGAGTGTTCTTTGAAGTGGCAGTTTCGACTCCTACTAAAGATAAAAACAAGAATCTTGTCAACCTACTATAGGAACTCAGTAAAAATCATATATCTAAGGAGCAAAAAAGCGCGGAAACTTGAAATGTGAAATCACCTTTCTTTTGTACCGAATCTGATTCATGAGGGTCAACTAAAAGTAACATAAGTTCAAAAAAACGTTAGGTAAATAAGGTAGGCAACTCAGAAACAAAACTATAATATTTGCTCACACGAGACCGAGCTGTCAGCTGAAGATATTTTCCTCTTACAGGAAAACGTGCCGGAACGAGGCAATGACGTTTTCTTCAACATGTCCAGATCGTTTAAAAGGGTAGATTGGCTGGTTGCTAGTGGTGCATAGGCCCCAGGAACATTCTTGGAAGTTTGAGCTGGTTCTTCATTTTTAAGGAACTCTTGGTAGCACTTTGAACACATGTCCTTAAATTGTACGCTACCGTAGAAACCACATCCACGCTTGCATAAATTACCGGCAGCTGCCTCGCTTTCAACCTCCGGAGTTTTGTTATTCTGTCGAGCAAATCAGCAAGTAGGGTGAGTAAGGCAGTTGGAAACAACCAAGGCACTAAAAATACTTCAATGCATACCTCGCTTAACGCTATGGTATGGTGTGCAAACGGACTAAAGCAACAAGGGAAACAGCATGCTACACAATGCTTTTACAAACACATATTGAACCCAGCCATCTAAAAATATTGATCGCAGACAAGTACAGAGCACAACCACAACGTGCCATAGAGCACTCGCAGCACTGAGTCTTATGAAGGAAATAAAAGCCTCAAAACCTTCACACAGTTAATCATCACATAAACTGGAAACCAAAGTCCAGCATTCCATAAATATTGAAGTGAATATACTATGGTGGGTCTTTACTACAACGCGTAAATGACAGCGGAAAACAGGACAAAGGCACCCAACAAGCGTCACGAAGTTCACAAGTTAATAGACCCAACCCACAACTAATGATAAGAGCAAACAGCACCAAATACACTTTCTATTTTCAAGTGCCATAATTTTATGAAACTTAGAACACAACACCTATTATGAAAACCAACACATTACCATCGCCGCAGCACAAAGCCACCACCAAGGAAGCCAACAATCACACCTTTCTAAAGTGGCTCCTTGTCGGAAACAACAAAACAAGCACAGCAGTACAGGTATTTCTACCCATGGTTTGTTAACAATGACCCTCAGATATTGATGGAAAGGAGGATTATAAATGTTAAGAACAGGCCGCTGTAAAGCCAATATTTGCTTCCGTAAATATTTACCAATTTTGATTTCTGCCGCAAATTTTCTCATTGAAAAGCCTTTATTTAATAATTTATTTAAAATGTGTGAGTAAACATATTGCATTCTTGGATAAGTTCACCACTTACTAGGGCTACTTGTAGGCATAATTCTTTTAGCATTTAGTGCCCATATTTGTAAATTCTAGATAATTCACCTCTTACTCTGAGTATGATTACTTAAAATATGCTTCTTTAGTTATGATTTGAGTGCTGTAGTGGCCTTTTTTATTCCTTTGAGAGCATAAAATATTATATCCGTAGAGCGAAGAATATTTATAACCAAGTGTCAGCTTTTAAAATTTCAGCTATGGTACTTAATTTGTGCTTCATTCTAAATTGGTGGCTAATAACTTTAAACTCAGAAGAAACACTTAATTATTTATTCATGCCATTGTCTGTATTTGAGATTTAGCATGTTAATTCGTTTGGGACCTAATTGACTTGGAGATTTAAAATGAACGCAAAAAATTATATCCAAGGCACTTTTATTATTTTCTACTGCCTACATTGTACACAAACACAAGCTAAAACGCTTCAAATATGTATGTTGTCTCTTGAGGTTATTGCGAATGCCAGCTCCGAAATTACCAGAAAGATAGAACGATAGTCTTTTGTGTACCTAGCGAAGCTAACACCTAAGAACGTACGTTGGCCAATTTGATATGAATTTTTGTTTGTAATTTGATTCACTGTCTTACCTGCATGACAATCTCATCACATTTAAACACAGATTTTGTACTAGTAGTTTTACGATGACCATTGCGGACATGATTAATTTCAAGCACACATACATAGAGTTACAAAGTTAACTAGGGTTTAAACTTAGCCTTTTACCTCAGAAAATATATTTATTCATATTTGTGTTTGGTTTGTCTGGCTTTCAGGTTAAAACGGAAACAGTTTTGGAGTAGTTAGTTTCGTTCAAGTTAGCTTTAATATTTGTGCAGTTAAATTTTGTCCGTACACTTAGTTTTGCGTCGGGCAAATTTTTCTGCTTAGGTCTTTGTTTTCATTATTGCATTGGTTGACCTTTTTACGTTGTCAAGGGCGACAGACTTCATTAACAAATTAAAAGACGCCTTCATGTATCGTAACCGGCGGATAGTTCTAAATTCTCGAATTAGCCTTAATCCTCCACCGAATATTGACCCAACTAAGGCAACACTAGCATATGGCAGACTAGCTATCTCTCGCCTGGTAATTATGCTCCTGTTTATTCTCAAGGAATGATAAAATCATATAAAAAATTCCTGTGTCTGTGTTTGCTTTTCGTCATTTTGGTGTGTAACTGTGTCCGGGGAAGTTTTTGATGTCACATTATTTACTTAGTTACTACTTTCGTGTTTTCCTAATGGTTTCTCGAAATTTGTAATTTTTGTGATGATATTTATATTTGAAATCCAAGAAAAAATAACACATTCCACATTAATTATACCTGCAGCACTGTTCAGTCTAAATTGACCTAGGAAACCTGGGTATTTGTCTTCTGCCTCCGTGTGGTATCAGAAATCTGTCAAAAAATCTGTATTGATTGATATACGGCTAAATCGCTGTGAAAACGCGACACATTCCAAGGAAAATTTTGTGCTTCGTTGCCAAATAATGTTATTATTAATATGTAAGCATGCTAAAGAGGTTTGAAATGTTTAAAGTGCCACATTTCTAACCGTTGTGTATGCAGGTTTATTAAGCACCTTATTAGATGAACCATAGGAATGATCTGGGAAGCAACAATTGACGACTTTCGTGTCTTGTGTGATTGTCACAATTTTTAAACTCTGATAACTTGTCTTCTGTACACATTGATTCATGCCTATTAATGTTGTGTTTTGAAACCAAAGACCTTTTTCTAATATTTGATGGTTAGAACTCGTAATTTTTTTCATTTAATTTACGCATTTTCCTGTATATTTCGAACAAATTGCTAAATGCTAAATTGGCGTATGATTAAATCACACAGTGAAACCCAGTCTGATGCATTATGTTATTTAAGGGACTGATTTCCTTAGGTGGTTTCGTTGCATTATATTTATTCTTGATCCGATCTTTCTTATAAATCCCTTAGAATTGAATAAAAGCTAGTCATTTTACAGAGAATATTTTTTTCGCCTGCAATAGCTAAAAGTGTATTTTAATAAAAATTACGTGCAAGGCAAGGTTTTAACATTTAAAAATATATTTTTTATTATATCGTGGTATTTTATTTAGAACCGTGAATTAAAAGACGAAACTTTGCTCATTCGTCAAAGGAGTGTTCGAGCTTTATGTGACTACTTACATGATCCAGAACACATTTCGGAAGCAGTCCATGAGGGTGTCATTTCCACACTCAAAACACTTCTTAAAGACCCCGACGTACCATGTCGAGCAATCGCTACGGAATGTTTTGTTGTTCTCAATCGTACGTTTTCATTACATTTACCTTATAATTCTGCAGAACACTCGATCGGTCGCGAGGCTTTTATCAACACTAAAGTTTTAGACGTTATGAAGCTTTTATTTTCATCATATGAGCCAAATATCGTCCGTCTAAATGCGCACCGCTCAATTGAGTTGCTTGTGCTAAATCCCATGTATACGCAGGTGCTGGTTGATGCCGACCTAATTCCGCTATTACTATCATGTCTTGAACGCGAATTCGTCGAAATCAAGGTAATAATGTACTTACATAAAGACTTGCATTTCTCAGATCATTATCCTCGAAACTCTTAATAAATGTCTTGCGCTTGATAGTGATGCTGGCTTAAATGCTAATGGCATGCAAGTGTTTACGAAACTCTTGAGTTACCACGATATGACAGTTCGCCACAAAAGTGCTCAGGCTATACTCAGATTAGCGTAGGGTGATTAGATATGGCATAAATTTGCAAATCTTTTAGTGTGAACAATCGTGGGAAACAGCAAGCGATTGAAAAAGAGACTATACCAAAGCTGGTTAATCTACTCCTAGATGAAGACTCTGAAGTAAGAGCTTCAGCCGCTGGAGCCCTCGCATTGTAAGACACAAGCAAATATCTACTTGTTTCGCAAAAGTACAGCAAAATATTTGCCTTTCCTTTTGAAGCATTAGTGTCATCACACCCGGCCGATATGCAACTCTCAACGCCAACGCCATTCCTAATCTCCTGCGTTGTCTTTTGAGTCCCAACAGCCGAGTTCGAGTAAATTCTCTTAAGGTAAATAAAAAGCCCTTAAAAATGGCATCTATTCACTGAGTGTTTATTACCATGTATATTTACGTCTATCAGGCCCTGGCGTGTATAGCCGAAGCTCCTGAAGGGCGACGTGTCTTGCAAACTGCGCTTCAACAGGTGAGTTCGGAGCAGAAACAACGTTTTGCCCCAGCTGAATCATAACTTAAACACCTCAACCCTAAGTTGTTCGGAAACGTTTCTATTAGTCTGCTTCAAATTTCCTTGTTCTGTTAGTCAAAATTAACGTTTTAGTAATCACTAGAGTCCGGTCTTTAATTCCATCAAGTTGTGGTTGCTATGATAAGTTTGGTCTGCGTTAATACGTGAATGCTTCAAAATTTTGGGCGGTCAATGGAATCGGCGCACAACTAGTGTTGTCACGGTTGAAGCTTTCTGACCTTGCACAAGTCTACTTCAATTCCTATTTTTAAAATGTTTTACACGCATTTTGGTCTACGTCGTGTGATTTGCACTACGAAGTTGGTTGGATTTTCATTTGAAAGCGTTACTTGTGTAGGGCGTTGATGTGTTTGTTTTCTGCCGTTTAGATTGAGTGTATGATGGATGACGAGAATGCAGGCGTTAGGAAGCATGCCAAAATCACCGCGGATGTTATTAAATGGAAGCCTTGGGACCTTGGGCCTCGGTGTCAAAAAGTTCCCACAGAACCGAAACCGTGCAACTGTAAGAACATCTATTATTGAAGTTCCGTCTTTTGTTTTAATTCGGGAATACCAAGGATTTGGGCTACAGTAACAAAGGTCTCATTATTTCATTTAAAAGTATAAAGTCAATTTCTTGGAACCACGTTAAAGACAATGAGCGTGTGTAATTCGTTATGAATGTGTACAATTTATTCTGAAATCATACCATGACTGCTGGAATAAGAAATGACAAACGCCTACCTCGTGAAGTTAATTTGTCTAAACCTGAAATATCGTGCTTAAGTAGTGTTCGTTGGAAGATATTTAAATAAATGCGTTGTGGATTTTGAAAGTTAGACGCGCTACTTGTCACAGTTTATTTTTCTGAATGAGATATGAATTCAACGTTTTCGGGTTTAATAGTCTTTGGCATCTCTGAACATCTCATTGTGCCCCCAGCATGTGGTCTTGAACCGCGCCAAGGCAACTGAATTAACTCTGGCTCGGTTACGCTTACCTGATACCCGCGATGAAGAAAAAGACCTGATATGATGTGGACACAATTGGTTACTTCAGAGCTCAACCACGTTGGTGTCACTGTGTCGTGTGTGGCTTTTATACCTCATATGCGTGAGTCATAGATGTGCCAACATCGCGACCTGGGTGCGGGGATAATCCAGGTTAAATGTTCGTGCCAATGAAGGGGGAGTTGAGGGTCTGCGAGGCTGGTGACATGCTGCGAAAAGGGGAACCCTGTGTCTAAGGCTGGAGTGATCGGATTAAGGGGTGTGAATCAACGCGATTCACAACAATCTGATTACTCAACTTTAATGCTTCACTTATGATGCGCTGGTCCTGTATAGCTGGCCGAGTCTACAATTCATCGTTTCACCTGATCTCTTCGTACATTAAAGAAATAGGTGCAGTCCTTTTGGATTTGTGTGTTTGCACAACCAAAGTCTTATTGAAATGCAACTAACAATACCCAAGTAATCTGTGAAAATGCTACAGTGTGGAAGAGGACCGTGGAACATTGTGAAACTCTCTAGGACTATACCAACTTGGCCTACCGTCACGTTGTGTTACCCCCTCAAAAACCGAATTTCTGAAATACCAGCTTTTTAGGTTCCTCTGTATCGATTCAAAAAGAGAAACTTAAGGATTCACAACTGAAAAGCAAACGGCAATCCGTCATATTCCACGTTTTTTTACATTTCTACTAGTTTCGTCATGGTTACATGGGGATCCCAGTATTCATTAAAATTTCCTTTACATTAGTCGAACTCAGCTTAAACCTTTCATCCTTTGACTGTGATTGAAAGGACGGCAAGTCACAAAATGTAAATTTTTATTCCTGCCATCCGGGGTGAACAGAACATCGTGTCAGTGTGATTTCAATTCCCCCATGTCTTGTCCTTGATATTTCGAGCTCAGTCAAGTTGTAGATTTGATGTTACGAATAACTCTCTTCCCCTTAATTACACAAAGACTCAGTCGGCTAGTTTAACACATTACGGTGTACCTTATAAAATTGTTAATTTTAATTTGTGTTGTAAAAAGAAGAAAAGTTGACAACTTTGTAAACTTGAGTTTTGGAGAGTGATTAGTATAATTTAACTACTCAAATAACCTAGCCCCTTCCTGAATCCAGCTGCAGTCGCACAGATATACGTCTTAGCACAGAGTTTTCCTAAAATTCATGGATGTACAATTAAGCTCGGCTCTGTTGTCTGCCTCAATTCACTTCTGTCAGAGGCAGCTGGGTACATTATGGCCTCCCTAGATGTTCATAATCGATTTCGTGATCTCCGAGCCCCTCAGCACTGTTGTCACGAGTGTCAGCGAAGACGAACTCCACTAAGGATGAATTTTTTCGTCGGTGTTGGCTTCGACTCAGCAGGAACTGGAAGTAATATTCTAATATGTTTTAAAGAAGCGCGATTTCTCTGATAAATGAAAGCAGTGGAATGTTCTCATTTTTTAAATCAACTAAGCTATCTGCTATTTTAGGCTTACCGACTTGTTTTGCTAAGGTTTTCGCACAAATGGTCTATTTAAATGTTTTCTTTGTGTGAGATGAAAAAACCCAAGGTGACCCTCATTAATTGACTGTGGCATTAACTGTTAAGGTTTAGTTTTATCCGGCCTTTTCACTCTTCGCTCCCTATGACGAGAGATATTAATGCATGTAAAGTAATGTGCATTAAAAGTTTAAAATTCTCAACATATTTAATGAATATTTCATGTCTTGGAACCGAAAACTTTGACAGTGAGCAAGTACTGTGGAATAGTTAAGATTTTACCTCTAGTTTAAAAAATGAACCTTTGGCTCAAACCGCTAGTCTAAATTGTGTAGTATCTTGTTGCGTTTCTGTTTCCCTTGCTTAAAATGTGCAATACATTCATCTCGAGCGAAGTGTAACGTTCACTCAAATTAGTCAAACTTGTAATTTTGGGTGCAAATTGAAATGGGACGTTTGTGCCCACGGTATGTCGCGGTGTGCATCCTTTTTTGCTAGACGACTGGGACAGTGAGTTGTAAAAGTTAAAAAGACCCTTCGCTAGGTCATTAGCTTGCGGTTCGTGAATAGAACAAACACTTGTGCTCAAGGAAAACTATGAGGAAGTGTTGGAAAGGCCTCTTGTATTTTATTGATAAATTTGGGGTTCGAATTCGGGCGTGAAACAGTGAAATAACATAGCTTACATCAATAACATAGACATTGGTCATAGATACAATTAAGCAAGCTAATAAAACGTAAACACACAACTCGGTTTTGCAGTCATCTTACACTTCCTTTTTTAAAAAAAAAGTGAAAAATTATGTGTAATCACAAAGCATCGCATTGATGGCGAAAAGGAAACATTCATAAATGTTCAAAATTAGTTTATATTGTTATTTTGGTTATGTTGTCGTTTTTTGTTACCAAAATAATGAAATTGAAAAACAACTTGGGGGACAGGCCGACATATTTCAAACTAAAAAATGGTGACGGGATTTAGTGCAGTCGTTCAACAAATTCCAAGTTTTGATATTTAGGTGATCATTCGAAGTTAGTTAAATTGTGACTTTTCTTCCTCACCTAGATCATGTTCAGACAACAGGCTACAGATTTTGATATGTCAAAAGCCAGAAACTAAATTAAAGGTAAAAGGACCCACCCATTTATTTCGTTCTCTGTCACATGAAACCTGTGTTGTCACTCACGAGTTTCATCTAAACTTTTCAGTAAAAAATTAGGCGCCTACACCGGATCTCACCAAGGTTTTTTTTCTGGATTGGCAGGATTTTCTAACAACTTACGTGCAAAGTAAGCACTTGGACAAAGTCGTTCACCTGTCATAGTCCAACCACCAACCGTCCAGAGAAGTCTCTTTTCGCCTTCATTACATTTTGCCAAGATCAAGATATTGACATAGGTTGGTTAGGCAGATAGTTGAACCCTGAAACAAATTCTTTACAGACTTATCTACAAGTTCGTTAGAGGAAATATTGAGGAAATGAACTTTTCCAAACCAATACCCAAGGTTACAAGAACTTTATCGTCCGGCCCTAATCTAGAAGGTCATTTTTTCCTAAGCGTTGAATAATCTTAGGTCACGATCAAATCGGGTTCAAGATAAATGCTCAAAACCCTGATCACAAATGCCATTCGAGAATATTTGTAACCTGCAAAGTAGGTAGAAGGTTATTTTGCTTAGGCTTCATAGTCCGATAAGTGCCAATGAACGACAGTCTCCAATGTTGTGGCTCTATGGAGACGCACAATAAGTCTGATCCATTCAATGATTCATCGTCAATTTTCTTCACGCTAAACTTAGCCTCAGTTACAGGGTTTCTAAGCGGCATGAGGGGAATTTCTCAACTGATTTCGGTCAAATTTTCAGCAGGAACGATTTATAATTAATCATTAAGGGGTGACTTAAAGATCTTGCTAAAGAAGTCAGGTACCTAGTGATTTACCATTCATTTCCTAACTAGTGAGTGATAAGGAGATTGTAGCTTATCCCTTAAACTAATAAAACCTCACTAAAGAAATTCGATTGGTTTTTCCATTTAAAATGCGATTTACAAGATTGCGTTATTCTGAAATAAAAAGGATCAGATGTAATTTGTTAGGAAAAATGCTGGTTTTGAGTCAGAAACGGATCGTAAATGCATACAGTTGTGTGAGCTTGCATAATACTAAGAGGCAGGTGTTAATCTACCTTTTCTGCCACTTTTGTACATTTAAGATTGTAAGACGAATATTTTCTAACCCAGATAAGGACACGATTACCAGTCGGAGGCATTTGTGTGTCTGCTAATTGTAACTTTCAGCTCTCCTGTTCATTAATGTTGCAGTCCGTAAACAAAGACTGGAAAAAAGTATTTGGTGGTTCTGCCAAGTAATTAGCAACGAACTTCCCCATCATTTCTAAACTTAATGAAGCTGCGTCCGTAAAACTACGGAAAGGGAAGCAACAGATACGTACCATTCTGAGATTTTTCGTGTAATTTATAAATTAAAACCATGAATAAACCCAACCAAATTAGAGACAGATTGATTCGAGCAGAATTGTTATAGAGTATATCAAATATGGATGTTAAAATATGATGCTCACATTTGAAATGCACACAAAAGGTATGGCGATTAAAATAATGTAAATGGAGTTTGAGTGATCAGAGTGCATGAATCCGATAAAAAAAAGGATTTGGGCGAGTGGTGCAAGCCCTACAAACATGTCGTCTTCACCAACATCATCGTGACCGAATATGGATCGCAGTTCGCAGACGGTCGCCGATCCTCCAGGTAGCCGAAACCGTTTTCGCCTACCTGGCGAGGGATTCGAATGCTGGCGCCTCTGTTAGCGACACCCGAAGAAAAGTCATGAATACTGCTGGTCTCGTGACGACCCGTTAATCGTCGTTTGTTGTCATCACCATTGCGTGGGTCGTAGTGCTTGATGTGTTCGTCATGGGCCAAGGCTAGCTTGTCAATTGCCGCAGTAATAACGCTACAACAGATGCATTTTATTGACGACTTTACCCAAAAAAGTGTCCCAGGACTATTTGAGATAACTTACTCTAGACCCTTTCCTGGTGTGCGCATTGACAATGTCGAGAAATTTGTGTGAGCTCCAGCGCCGTTCCAGTCACCTTTCATGGGTTTAGGATCGAATGTCACCACAACTCCGAAGTCCTCAGCGACACGGTGTAACAAGTAACGCGCCATCCAAAGGTGGTCGGCCGCGTCAACGCCTTCACAGGGCCCAACTTGAAACTCCCACTGAGAAGGCATCACCTCGGCGTTAGACCCGGCAATCTTGATACCCGCATACAAGCAGGCACGATAGTGCGCGAGAACAATATCGCGCCCAAATGCTCGATCAGCCCCTACACCACAGTAGTAGGGGCCTTGGGGAGCTGGAAAACCATTTTTAGGCCACTGAAGGGGGTACTGATCAACATCAAGAATCGTGTACTCCTGCTCAATGCCGAACCAAGGCTGCTCATCTGCCACCTTCTTCATCACTTCTTCGCATTCGCGACGCTTATTACTGGCTATATAAAAGAGAACATGTGGTAACACACCGGCCTCGTCACAGCCTTGGATAAGCACGTGCTTCTTCACACTCACAATGGGGTTTCTGGTCGTATGTGTAGGTCTCGCAGAGTATCAGTTTGTTATTGCCACGGGTAAAAGGATCTCTAAACATTGCCGCTGGATACAGATACACGTCCGAATTTGATCCTTCGGCTTGCCCTGTGCTACTGCCATCGAAATTCCAAATGGGGTAATCTGGAAAAAAGAGAGTAATCTGCGCTAAGTCAGCGGATCGTATCGCGTAGCTAGGAGCGGATGAGAAGCTGGTACACCCACAGATCTGGTTCGATTAAAGTGCGTTTCTCATGCACTTTGCCATGGGTTTGATGTATGTGAACCAGTAAAGTGAAACATCTAAAGTACCTATTCAATAAATAGTCATGGTATGACAGTAATCTTGAAAAGATCTCTTAGGGAAGCTCGCGTTAGCCTGGATGTTTCATCCCAATGTACTATGGACACGTGACCATATGTGCAACCAGGTCCCAATTTGACAACAGGTAAAGCCATAAAGAACCTACCCTTGATTGTCTTGGGTTCTTCAGATAGGGTCATGGTTTTACAACGAACGTTTTCACCGGATCCATCGATCCACACGTACGTTGCCATAAACTGCCCACTGTCCACCGGTAGCTCAAGGTACCGGTGGAGGAGAGACTTCCTCTCTGATGCATTGCCTGGCGGAAGGGACATCTTGGCTAATAATGAAGCCGCGGCCGCCAGTGCCACTTAAGTAGTCGCAGACACGCGCTCTGCAAATGATTTTCACGACCGACCAATCCAATGGGCAGATGACGACCTGCGGACATTCAAGCGACCTTAAGTTTCCAATTGGCTCATTCATAACCAATCATGGGTAGGCAAAGTAGAGGGTCAGTCCTGGGTGTAGCTGCATGTTCGGTATCTAGTGCGTCGGTAATCTGAACTGGTATTTAGCAGTAACCAAGTATATTGGATTTGTCTAAAACGCAACCGTTAGAAAAACGAGCGGACTACAATTCAATTTAGGGTTTATAAAAGGAATAGGCTGCCTTCCTTAAGCAAATGAGGGACATTGAAATCTACTGACAGTAGCTTTCAGAGGTTCAGTTATGATGAATAACAAATAAAAAGTGTAGCAATTCTAGTCTTCGGGTAATAATGTAGTGATTAAGGCTGCTTCGTTAACAGTTGCATAAAATCCTGCTTTTGCGTAGCTGCTGAACTATTTAATACAAGTAGCACATAAGGGTGGATGTCTGTTGACATTTACATAATCAACCAAAGGGTATCGCCTACTTAATCTTATGGATTCTATTTAGGAATTTATTTTATATTTAGCACACTTAAGTTAGTCCCGAGTATTTGTGCACTGCTAAAAATTGTTTCTGCGAATCAGAGATTTTAAGGGTCACCTACCAAATGTGGGATTATATTTTTCCTGGTGGATTAAAGATGAAGCTGTCATATATAAAAGTAAGGTGCGTTTGCCATAGTGCTTAGCATTCGACCACATAATTTCTAAAAATAAACTCTGTAAGCTAGGTGCTATGATGATGAAACAACTGCGTCCTCACGTGACTTCCTACCAGGTGCTGTTTACGTGGATGTTAGGCGCCCTCAGCTTTTGTGACAGGCCAGTCATGCGGACCGTACCTAAACATAGATTATGCGAAATTATTTGAATTACTTGGTGTATAAATGCATAAAATGTATCCTACAGTTTTAGACCGCTTTGTGGGGAAATCAAAATGTGTCGAAAGCAGACGAGCATGCTGTCGCGAACAGCTATGAAAGTTGTTTGTTGAACAATGAGGGCGCCAAGTTGGAACCTAAGAGGCTTCCGCGATCACTAAACTCCATGATTGTGTACACTTCAGGATGCGATCTGCGTCAAACCCATCGTTTATTTGCGTCGTCCGTCAAAAAATGACATTATTTTGTTATGGATTTGTGTGAATACTTACTGTTAGTTCAGATGAGGGGGGTTCGTCTGGAGGCGTTTAGGTTAAAAACTAAAATAGCAGACAAAAATTGCCATGCGAAAAGAATTTAGGGTCCATGAAAAATTAATAACAACTGTATCCTTCCCTCAGGTCTCATCACATAAAGATTTCCGCACAGCCACGGTGTTAGTGTTGGATGTTTGATTTTGAATTTAATAACAAGCTGTCTGAAGTTTAATCAAGGAATTGCGCAAAAAAATCAAGAAAAGGGATATTTTGGATCACACACCTTGTTCCATTGCCGTCAACTAACTTGACGTGTATTCAATCAAGATTAAAACTGTGGGTCACTGCCTGATTTTTAGTCAAATTGAGAATTCAAAACACTTATGAAAACTGATATTTACTCATCAATACTGTTCCCTTTCGCCATTTTCACTAACTGCCTCACAACATTCCACAAGTGCTTGTGACCCACCATTGCAGAACTTGCGATGTTTCTCTTCGAAGAAAATCGCAAGGTAGTTTCAACGACTTCCATGCAATCAAGTATTTTAAGCAAAGAGCATGGCCGATGAAAATCTGAAGGGGTGAGGTCAAGGAAAACTGTGGCTATCAGAGGATTGCTCACTCTAACTCCCTCACTTTGTGCACAGTCATTTGGGCGGCTCTCATGCTGCGGGATAGTGCCTTTTCGATTGACCAATTTTGCATTCTTCGAATCGACTTAACCATTGCGTTGAGTGATTTGCTCACAGTCATTCTCGCAGTTCCTACTTGGAAGGAGTTTGTAAAACTTGGTTCTCTGCAATCGCATCAGACGCATAACAATGTCTACATTGAGTGCAAATCAGTTTATGCAATAGATCCTGTTGCTTCACTTTCATGCTCCCAGCTTATTTTTCATGGTTTATTACTACGCACAAGCCGTTTTCCATCTCCAATTACGATTCGATACAATAAAGTTGGTTTTGTTGAAAAGTGAGGAGAGAAATGGCAGTGGAAACAAGGTTCAGCTTGTTCCGTTACGTCAAAACGTACAAAATCCACGTATCAACTTTAGAGGTGTATCCAAGCTGCTCCAAATAACGAAATACAGTCCACTTGTCAATGTTTTGTTGTGGTGGTGCCTAAGTTTCGAACCTCGTGTGGAGTCATTTTTATTAATTAGGCATCAAGTGGAAAACCGCCATACCGAACAATCAAAAGTGGCCTATTTTGAGTCGGATAAATTTGCATCCATGGATGAAAGCCCAACAATCTAGCATTATATTTTGATTTGTTCTCAGCTATTGAAGCACTCGTGATAGGGATTTTCGTGAACGATGCACTTCAAACTAACACTGCGAAAAATAAGGCCATATTTGCCAAATATCCTCCAAGTCAAATTATGGTACGGAGCGCTGCTCAACTCAATAGCTTTTCGCTTATAACATGTTTATAATGCGTTTATTATAAGCGCGTATGTAAATTTAGGGCTCGAAAACGGCCTACATGCCCAATGTGTAGCAAACTTGCTGGGTCACAACGCCGAATATGCAAAAACACCAGCAATCCAAACGCGTCCGAGGGCCGTTCACGCCATCAACGCGTGCCGTGTCTTATGACCTAGAAGCAGCCAATGAGAAAACGGTAGTGAATCAGGACGAAGGTCGGGTAGGGTTTGGTAGTAGAGGTTTTCGGCTGCGTGGCTGAACACATGGTCTTTCTAGCATAGGCCAGACAATTGTTGTTAGTTAATCTTAACGTGGGAAACAACATTTTAATTTAAATTTCAATTAAATCCTAATTTTAGGACAAATAATGACATTATAGGGACTGAGTAAATCTATCAGCTGCATTATAACTATCACCAACCACAAAGAAGGTCTTTTGAATTCACTGATAGAGTATGGTCACTGTGGCTCGCAATGTATCCCGGCCTGGGTGATTCGATTAACTAACACGTGAGTAGGTTGGGAGACGCAAACACAGTTGGTGGACCATTGCTACCCGCTGACCGAATCGTTCTAGTTCAAATGCACTACTTGTTCTGCAGTTTCTTGCTAAGCGTCAGAAGTGCGCTTCATGTCCTTTGGGTTTTCCGACTTGATTTGAGTCGATGTTGTCCAGTGAAGTATCGCATTTTCTAACCAATACGAAGTTCAACATGCAAAAAATATGGTTTGAAAACAATCACCCGTTTAAATCACTTCATCTGCTTAAGACTAACCGCTAAACGGTAACATTTATTTGGCTGTGTGGCGAATTCCCACAAACTGTTCGTAAAACAATGTAAAAGTACAGCACCAGTGAAAATAAATTCACACCCAATGTGCGCCACAACCTGACACTTAAGACATTTATAAAGTTCATTTTATAATGTTCAGATTTGTGCGATTGTCCCGAATCGGAGTGGACGAGTTTTGAGCAGGTAGTAAACCTATATTTACGAAATTAAATGCATTCAAATTAAGTTTGTCCGGAAATAATGCAGGACTGTGTAAAAATTATGGATCTGTTTTGTCCTGCATGAATAGTGATGAATTATTACACTTCAATCAATGCGAAATCTTTGAAATCTGGACCTTAAATTTGCAGATTTTTAAGTCAGTTGTGATACAACTAATTTCCGCTTTGCGAGATAAAAATGACCAGCAACTGAAACCTAAGCTCTAAATATTTACCTCCAAATTTTGTACACATTTCACGACCTGACAATTCGAAAACTTGACTAGGAAAATAATTTGAGTGTCTTGAAAAGATCTGGTGTGCAGAGACACCAAGTCACAACCAAAAAGGCTCTAAACGGAGTTCGTTTTGGTCAGTAACAAACTCATTAAAACATTTGAATTTTTTAGTCTTCATTCAATCTGCCTTCGTTAAAATTACATCAACGTAATTTCAATGTTTATTCGTTGTGTTACAGTTATCTACCAAAAAGCATGTACAACCTGCGGTAACAGATTTACTATAGAGATTGTTGGAGTTTTTATGTAAGCTCCGGTGCTCTCTTGATGTTAGCGGAAAACTACCAAAAAGTCTATCTCTGGGGAGCCCACAACTGGGCTACTCGCAAAGCGACATTTGTTTGCCTGACCATCACATTGGTGGCCTGACACGTATTTCTGCCCCTTTCAAACGTCCTACGGAAAAGCTTTATATATTTTCCCATTTTGAGTGTTGCGTTCCCCCAGTAACTAGAGCCACACGCTCAGTGAACTCTAACACCTGATTCTTGTCTGTAACCTGACCCCGCCTACCGAGTTCAGGACCAAGAGCAAGACAAGGCTTCGTGAAGATAGACCTTATTGCCTTAGCCAATTGTCGAGTAACATACCAGAATGTGCCCGCTTGCATAAGTCACGGGTGACTTTGACCTGATGTCAGCGTGATGCCGTGGCGAACTGACCCACTTCAGTTGTGTAAACAATGACGAAATCCTAATTAATGATGAGCCGTTTTGAGGAATTCTGCCCTCTCCAACATTAATAGATTATCAAATGACTAAAAAGTTAATTTTAACTTGCAGTTAACATTATAATTATATTAGATTTCGCATTCCTTCAAAAGCAAGTGTAGATAAAGACCCAAGCTGTGGTTAGCCACGAGAATTTTTGAGTCTTTTTGGCAATAATTTCGTAAAATTTGACAGACTATTCATGATTCCCTTTTCACGATACTATCATATCATTGGTGTTTATGTGACGACGCAAGCTTAGCTGGTTTGTCATTCACCTTACATAAAACACCCTACTTTGAGAACAGTTTGAGTTTATAACAACATTTGCAAAACCCAATTGTCGAGGTTTTTGGCCGCCGATAAAAAATGACTTAAAAAGTAGAAAAACAATAATATTAGAAGAAGCCATCATGACTGTGGATAACGTCGCTGGATTTAAATCCCCTCATCACTTCTGCGGCCTCTGGCAGAAGAGCGCCATGCACTGACTGCATCGTCTAGGGTTAGGGACGACGGTAGTCTGTACGTGCTTGTACGTGCTTCCTTAAATTTCCGATTTCATTGTATATTGCACATTGTCTTGAGATGGAATAAAGTGTTTGCAATTCAGTTAATGCAGCTTCGAAAAAGACGTCTTGACAAGTTTTTAGACCATATATTGTATACAAAAAATGGAGTCATCAGTTACTTTAATTTTCAATTTGGTAAAGAAGACTGATGAAAATAGGGTCTTGCTATATGTGGCCCCACAAGTTTCTTTTTCTCATAACTAAGGGCCTGATGTTAATTTAAGGTGCCTCTAGAGAGGATCAAGAGGGACTTTTGAAAATGTTTACGGCAGCTGCTTGACCTTGGCCTTCGAAAAACACAAACGATATCAGTTTTTGCGGGTAATTATGTTGAAAACAACACATCGCCCTTTGGTGTAATTACTCACTTTGCAGTAGCTTCTATCAATAATCATAATTATACGTCTAGAAAAGTACAATTGCAATAAACACTTGAATGGCACCGGCCTTAACGCCTCATTGTAAAGGTAAAACTAATTAATGAGGAGAGAACATATACTGTCTGAGCCAAGTGTAGCGAGTGAATTAGAAGCAACAATTTAGATCACACTGACCTCAATCAATCCTCTGATTAACCTACAATGACGATTTGAAGCAAACTAAGTACAAGGATGAATGCGAAACACTATATGGTGGGCGGCCTACGCAGTATGGGGGACTTGGATCAAGGGTGTCTGAGCTGCTGTTCTTGTCTACTCTGCACAAAGGCCAACTAACCTACTAAACCTTGCTCTTTTTAAAATATCTGCAGCAAACTTTCTAAATTATTTAAAGAGGAACGAGAGTGATTGAAATGGATTATAAATTAACATATGCAGAAAAAAATGATTTTAAAAGTTAGCATCTATAGGGTCTTAGGAAACAATGAACGTCTTACCCTTTGAGGGATTAAATTAGCATCTTCTTCGGATACAACTGGAGTTGTGTTCGTTGACGGCAAATACAATCGCTTAAACTAGAGATTTAGACCTTTCATTGTTACTTTTTCCGTATTCCGGTTCTAGTGAAGTCAACGAATGCATCAACAATAATTACAAACGTGAAGCTTATTAATCGAGAAAAAGAACACTGGATTTGACTCAAAAGCGAAGATCATTGCACTTATCATAATGAATTCATAGAAAAAGCAAAAGTACTAGGTATTAGACAACCGAAGACGGATTCATTTTGTAACTAATGGTCAAAAACTATTATTTTCAAAGAAGGGGTTTTCCACTTATTGATACCACATACCGCATGATGATTGTGAAGACAATGATTAAACGGGAGCACAACTTTGGTTTCATCCTATTCACTTGAAAGGCATACGACAACTTTGTCGAAAGCCTACTCATAAATATAACACAGCTTCCCCACTTTGCTTATATTACATCCCTATCATTAAATTAATTTAGATTGGGGCTGGTTTTATTAGCGAAATTTCGTTTCACTAAAGTCAAGAAGTTTAAATTTCACGAAAAATCCTTATGATTACCATTCTTGATACCCTCAATTAGGTAATAGTTTATAGGTATGTAATAGTTATTATTACTGGTAACTTAATACTGATAATACCCGCGATACTTAGGCAAAATAAATAATGCCAAATTTTCAATAACTTGCAACACAGAAATTTCAATAGGTGGGTGTTTTTTTAAAAGTTTATGCAAATACCCTTGTGTTTTAGTAGGATATTGCCAAGTTTAGAGTTTGGAACATTAATATTAAACGTTGTGGCTAAAATATTTAAAATGGATCTAGCTTTGCAAATCGGTTCCATGAGGAAAATAATTAATTATGTCATATACTCATGTAGCCTGTTACGATATTAAAATAGACATTAAAGATATTCAGCGTTGTGCTTACAGTACCATTTTTATTAGAACTTGGCAAAAATTTATCCTTTTCACAGAAAAAATACATCCTTTTAAGAAAAATAATGCGTTTTTGCGTTAAAAACTCGACCATAATATTCATTAATTATAATTTATGGAAATATTCACCAAATATTTCGTAACTTCTATGGTCGTAAATAGCGTTCCTATCTTTTACCGGAATCATTTATTCATTTAAAACTACTTTAGATACGGCAATGTCAACATAAGTCGTATGCGTTATCATAATTTTTGCTGTGCATTTCTTATGAAACTGATTTTGGTCAGAAATTAAATTCTTAAAATAAAACACGTCACCTAGCTTATATTTAACAAATATGTTTAGGTACCCTTTGTTGTTTAAGTGTATTGATTCTAGCTACTGCATTTAACCGTCGTTTTGAACACCTGTGTTCTCATTGATTTAATTGTTCAATGGGGACACTGACGACGTTATCGGTTTTATTCATATGCGTGCCATATGTTTCATGTGAATATCTTACGGTTAACGAGTTTTCGACTACTCTCGATGCCTTAGTGAAAAGGGAATGCTCCCATAACTCGATTTCAGAGGTACCTGCATTTATTTAAAAATAAAATTTGCACTAATTTTAATAAATTTAAAAAAATAAACAGCATACAGGTTAAAAGTGGTAAGCATTTTTTCGCCTTGTCTGCCATTTTCAAACCACTAAACAGATGTTTTCCCAACAATTACTAAACGCATTATTCATTAAACCTGGAGAATAATAATGCAGCCAAGTATTATTGCCTAGTTTTAAGTTTCTGCATTGTCTACATTTACTAAGTAATAATACAACCATGCTTTTTTGTATTTAACTACTAGAAGGGAAGCTTTTAAATCGTAAGCGTAATGAAACTCCCACTTAAAATATAATTTCAGAATCGAGCAGGCACTTTGACTCAATACACATTTACGGTCTTTTTAACCTTGGAAATTAGGCTCGGGTTTAGCCATAACACTACGATGTCTCTGTCTTTCAGGCACAGATATGTTTTACATCTCACTGTACACATTCCAATGTATGCTGACAGTAATTTAGATGCATTTAATTTAGCATGATTTATTAAATATCAAATCCGCCTTACTGCCACTTACATCTACCATCCATTTGTCATGCAGATCTCTTACTAAGAACAAATGGGACCATTTGTAACTCGTTTTACATTTCTAGATTTATCCAACTTGCAATTCGAACTACCAATGGGTCTCTCTAAGACATCAATTCAGTTTGACACGTAATCCTTAAGCCTTCGTAGTCGAAACATTAGCCAAGTATTTGCCGCTAAACATTAATTCTCTTATAACTTTAAAAACAAGTATTTTTTGACAGACTTTATATTCAACGTTCGAAAATTGCTTTCTATTTAGTGTTACCATGCTTTTTAAACAAGTAGAAGAGTTAATCTTACTGATGATCACTTAACGTCATACTTTTATCAGCATGAAATTTCGCCACAATCATAACGTCTTATGCATTCATGGACTGATTTTAAACCCAATCACATTGTCGCAATTTTCGCAACCAATATGTCACTAACAAAAAGTTTAGAACTAAAGCTAGATATTGTTGAGGCTTCTATTGCAAAGATTTACCGTTTCTTTGGATGTCCTTGTCTCATTTTGACCTGTTTTTAAATTTCAAGGGTCAGCTGTGTCATGGGACCATTATCTTTTTTTATGAAAGAAGTGTCAACTAACCTACTAGTAAAAGAGTTTAAAAATGCAAAAATACTTATTTCTGTGGTTCATTGCCTGAACGTTTGCAGTTCATTCAAAGAACTATATTTTGAAAGATTACATATTTTTATGTTAAGGGTTATCAAAATTTAATTAGCAGAGGAAAAATAACCATTGCGAAACTGGAACCACTTAAAAATGTGAAAGAATATGCATCGAAATTATACAAGCTCTTTCTGAAGAAGGCGGAAGCTCTTGAGGTAAGAAGCTACTTTCGTATTACTAAGTTTTATTTCTGAACTTGTTATTCCATCTTAAACTTTATGGGTCTTATGCACATTACTACGTAAAGTTGGGTAACCTTAGCTTAAAAATAAAAAGCTGCCTTTTTGACGTGGATCGTGCCATGGGTGTCTAATTAACTCACTTAGCAACTATTGGAACCGCGCTGCTTTCTAATTTTCACTCACATCACTGTTGACTGATGACCTTGGTAATTTTTAAGACAATTGAGATTCGATCAAATGGACTTCAAACTTGTGGTTTTGTACATTAGTTCTGTAATGTTTGCTTGACCTTTTCTCTAGATGTTTCCACAGATAAATGTGTGCAAAAGTGTCAGGCGACTAATTATTAGCTGTCTTATTTAGGACCGAAACAAGCAAAAGCAAGCTTTTAAGAGCGGATTTCTATTTACTGAAATCAAGATTTTTATGCCCACAAAGTACTTTAGTTGTCATACTTAATTCAGGATGATACGTTTACACTGAACGCACATCAAGCATGCACTGTAACTATCGAAATAGAGACCGTACCTAATGCTTTGGTTTGACAGCTTTCAGATAAATTTTGTTTGCTTAATTATGATTCTCTGAAGTATGGCTCGAGTGAAGTCAAGTTAGGTACCAACACATATAAAAACGACTGATTTTGTATTCACCTGTTCCATGCCATTTATCCGAAGACTGGAGCGCAGCCCTGGGTAATTTAACAATCTATTTTCAATGGTATTTCCTACCGAAGCATCTATCACAGCGTCATAACGGGCGTATTGGTGGGGTGCATTGCGCTAACACTTTCCATTGATCGATCAAGCCAGTCTTGCCCGGTCTGACGCGCACTTCTGTGCACGCAGGCACTTCGTGACCGCACATTCGGTGGGCAATGCTTTCACATATTTCGCGATGTGACTTTAAACCTTGTATCCTCAGTTGCTGGAGTTTATTTTGGTAAAATTATTATTGCTGAAATCTCTGTCAAGGGCTGTAAAGTTAGGTGAATAGCCACCGTTAATTCTGCCACTAATTCGTCATTTAAAATCAATTTTCAGCTTCGACTTGACAAGTCGCGTTGGCCGAGTTTGAGTTGTACCTTTACTTCAACACTGGTTATCCCCTTAGCTTTAATAATGCAGTGTTTCATATGCCGCCAACTTTACTTTCAAATTGGAGAAGCAATGTTTCTAGTTTTGTCCACTTCACAACTGTGTATTAAATTCAAAGGTGCTTTGTTGTTGTCATACTAATCAAGTAAACGCATCTGGTATTAAAATGTTATGCTAGCCGAAAAACACTTGTAAGTTATTTGAAATCCTTTTATCTGAATGGAATAAAACTGCTCCTGTTAGCCACAACTTGGCTGCAAAATGCTCCGTTTTATCGTCATTTAGATCCCAAATATGGACTTTCCCAGCCTTCCAAAGGTATCGAGAACTGTATAATTTTAACCTCCACTAATTATTTTTAAATTTCTAGATCTAGCTAGCTAGATAAGTCAGCATCTAATGATGTACATCAGTGTTTGACCACTTTTCTTTCACTTTTTTGATATAGAAAGTTGTACAGGATGTAGAAGAGGAGGCAACGAAATACCCATGGAACCCTCTGGTTGGTAAAATTTTCTAGTCGCTCCAATAAATACTAATTGTAGAAAATTGCAGAATATTTTTTTCTTGGTATAAGAACATTTTTTTGCTTATTCAATGGATGAAACGTTTCAATTTCGAAGTTTAAACGAGCTTTAAGTGACTCATTTCTTCATGGGGGGAACATGTCTGGTTATAGTATCTGATTTTCAACTGCAACGACAACTTCATTTTCCTGATATTCGTGTCCTAACCATGGATAAGGCGCACAATGTTTAAAAGATAAATGCATTGTCTGCAGTTTTCTACAAGGACGACTCCATGAGTACTAATTCTTGGTCCAGTTTTTATGCCACGTCAAATTGCACCAAACACATTATAGATAACTGAATTAATGTTGAAATGTCTACACCTTGCTACATTTTAAATTCGTATTACGTAAAATTTACATGCTTAGGTGCAAATTTTACAACAATAAGCAAACTCGCAGACAGTCCATGGTGCTCTCATCGCTGTTTAAACCAAGTTTAAATTTGGGGCGTTGAAAACCGCATTTTGATTGCCCTTGTTGTATGCGTTCTCCTGTATGTACCTTTTTTTCGCTACAGCTCAAAAACATATCCTTTGTGTCCTTGACGGATAAGGGCGAAAACTTGACCAGGCATCACTACTTCAACATTCCCGTGAATACATCCCAGTCGGGTGTGTACGTGCCCTCCGAGGTATACATAAACGGTAAGGCCACCTTCGCTTACAACATATCCTATTTCTGAACCCTAAACTCGACAACTTCGACGTTGAATAGGTTTCTTTTAAACAGGGGTGGCATCATTCAAACCAAAAGCCTCAATTTATGTCGATGGACCGTCTGCGAGGAATCTTTAGTGGAGCTCTTCGTACCGCTGTTATAGGCGCATCTCAAAACTTTTCTTGTTTACCTAAAAATCCAATTTCTTCTAAAACATCAAGCACCGACGCGTAGTTTTGTTCTCAAGCGACTTCACCCCAGCCACTTTAATCGAGTCTTAATGTTTACTGTTAATTGCGGCTTCCTGACGTTTGGTTGGTTGACTGCCTTTGCAGTTCTAATGGCTAGCCAAAAGGATAACTTATTAAAACAATTTGATGTCATCGAACGAGGGCACTAAGGGTACAAAAGTCTGCGATTAACATGATGTATGGTGGTATAATTGTCAATAACCACTTTACGAGGGGCTCGGTTGCCATCTTTGGAACGGTAGTTTTACTGATTTCGACTTCACTGAACAATTTTTCTGGTCATAACCAAAAGATATTGCAGCCAGTCTAATATGGCTCTCACAGCGGTTTTTCTCCTTGACCACAAACTTCTTGACGAAAATATTTTGAAATCATTGGACCACGAAATTTTCAACTTGGGCTGTCTGAAATTCCGTTTTATGCCGCAGGTGACAAGCCCAATGAAAAGTAACGTAATTACTCAACGTTATGTGCAATATCCAATTGACAAGGAGTAAATTATTCAACATTAAAAATGTATAGGAAAGTCAAAATAATTAAACTTAATACATCCGATTGAAATCATGCTGCGCCTATTCGTGCTGTGGCAATCATTCGTCATTTTTCTAGTAGCTTGAATGTCTCCGCTACTAAGTGCTCTTTAGCTTTAGTCGAGACGAGTGTTGCATGGCTTGGTGCTGTTGCAAGGTAACAACGGGCACTCATTTGTTATTTGCAGACACGTTTTGCAATGCAACTTGCTTGACTTTCCTTCCTTCCATCCTCTAAACAATCCCTAATTGAGGATCTTGCCTTTTAGACTCTGTCATTGCCCACCAAGTGGATTGGACATCGAATTTAGACCACATATTTCAGCAACAAAATGATACCCTTAATTTTATATACTTTGCCAGTGAATATGGGTTTCTACGGACTTATCCACGTGAGTCCTCTTATGTATACAGGTATTTGTTCATGATACACCAAGGAAGGGTTTTGGGGCGTTAATTACATCTGAATTCCGAAGACAAACTAATTTTAATAATTCGTAATGCAGTAGCCCCCCTAATTTTTGAGTTGGAATTTATTGTCACTGTCTCCTGCTAAAGGATTCGTGTTCTGATTTGTCTTTTTTCGTGTTAATTTAATATCAACTAACCTCTTTTCTCTAGCTAGTCTACCGGTTTACAATTGAGCCAAGCCCTCCTCACTGTGGTTCATGCTATCACAAACTATATGAGAGGAATGCAAAATATTGCTTTCAAAGCACTTCATGAAAATTTCCGCCCACCTGCCCGTTGAATGTTTTTTTTGTTATTTTGCCCTGAAAATGGTTGCTTCAAATTCTTACAATCCACGAAACCCACTTAATGGCTGGGTAAACGTGTTTGCCTCATCTTCAAACTGGGATCTTGTGGTGCGTTTAAATTGGAAAATGGTTACAAGCATCCAAATGAATTCGAAACCTCTGAGCCTTCTCTATAAATATTCTGGCACTGGTAAATTAATTCCATAATTTGGTCGGTTGTTCATTGTCTTCGTTTTAATGTTATTCGTGACAGACGTCTGAGGAGGGAGTGGTTCGAGAGCGTGCGTCTTCATCCGTAACTTACAGCTTTCACCCTCTACACCTCCTAACGGATTCTACCCTCACACAGTCGAAAATCCATGTCAAGTTGACAAATTTCACAAAGTGCCCCAAAGGTGTCTAACCACTTTTCGCGGTCAAGGCCCTAAATGGCCCCACACCTGGAATTGTGAAAATTCTTGCTCTTTTTGAATGCATTAATGCAGAAAGGCAGCATGTAGTCACTCAGTATGTTTTAAATTTTCCTTCGATTTTAGGCTACCAATGGCCTCTGGATGACAAATTGCGCGCTTTAGATGCTCGACGCCAAAGCTGGTTGGTTTCGAAGTTAAGGGGCATACTTTTTCTACTCAATTTAATGCGAAGTGTTCATGTCCAATTTCAGGTACACACAATACACTGGGGTCCCTAAGGACGTTCTTTTTCTGATGGACACGTAAGCTAACCATGGTCGACTGTTGACATGGTTACCACATTGACAAAATTTTGCATATTTTTTATACGTTCTAGGAGTGGAAGTATGCATGGCCAGGCTCTACATTTGGCAAACACCTCTCTGAGACTTTTGATTGAAAACCTCAACAAAAATGATTTCTTCGCTGTTGCCAAAGTATGGCTTTCGTATTTGGTCTGTCTTTTCCAATAGTGGCTGGACTGTACCAGGCAGTAAAGTATTTGTAGGACATCTGAATTTCCTACTTTACTAAATATTATGGAAACGGATAACAGATTAAGTAATTTCAACTGAATGCTCTCGATTGTTTAGGTCTAATACCACTGTTTCTTAGAGTTCCATATTAAACTCTGATCAAAACAAACTCATCAACCTTGTTATACTGCAGCACACTGCATCAATCGAAGATGTTTGAATTTCTCTACTTACAACTGTCAATTTCCTCAGCCTATTGAAGTGCATATTAGGAGCCATATCAACCTATTAATTTCACCAATCGAGCCCTGTTTATCGTTTGATTTCAGTCTTGAGGTGATTATTGGCCTAAAGCATTCGTCTAGACTTCAAAACTTGTAATAAAATGTATCCTCTTGTTTTTCTGTAATTTGTTGCTACAAAAAACGACGGCTACTATGTAACCTTGCAAAATAACTTGCGATGAAGAGAGTTGGTACTGCTGGCTAGTCGTTGTACTGAAATGCCTTTGAGGGCTTTTCGAGGGCCTCTGCATCGTCTTTCGCCTGGCGATCTTCTGTCAGACACATGTGTACAATTTTATGTCTGCTAGTGGTTTCAGCAATAAAATAAAAATTTGTTATCATGACTCCAAGAAATTAACGAAATCATGGCCCCAGGTTCCACAGTGCTCTGGTCACAATTCTGTGTAGCACCGCCATTTGCTGTTTACATGCAACACAGCGTGTCTCACAATTAATATAACTGATTAAAACTCTCATTTGACCGCGAGGAGTCTTATTCAACAGAATATGTAGTTTTTTTTACATCTACAACGATCATTTAATGTGACCACAGTGGCTATGAAAATTATTTTAAGATGGGAAAAGCACTCAGTTCTTCCGCGGTATTATCTGGATCTAACACGTTTTAGCTGTTATCTGTTTCGAAATTCAGGGAATTTGCTTAGTGAGATAAATTTAAGGGACTTGCACTTTTCTCAAAACCGATTGTAATATACATTTCAACTCAACTTTAAAACTAGACTTCATAAGCGGCTCTAACAAATGTCATCTCGTGATCTCTCCAAATGTGCACACAACTTTTAAAACTTATTTCAAATTCTAAACATTACTCACAGAAGCTAGAAGGGTAGATCAACTCATCGATTCTACATAAGTGGTTTGCAACACTTGCATTGAGAAAAGTGTGTTGAGTTTGGATTAGCCGAGGACCTACCACATTTTTCGAAGGCATTCATGATATTTTCGCTGTCACTCGTTGACCGTGTTTCGTTTCTTTTTCTCCTGTGCATTCACTTAACGCTGCTTGTTACTTCCAGACCTCCATTTGTTGAAATGATTTTCATGGCGAGATGTCCATTAGATGAAGATAAAAATTCTCGGGATGAAGCATCTAAGCATACTACACAATAAACTTCGTTGAATAAGGGGCAAATTTTTATAAGTGACTATTTTCTAATCCTGCAAGCGCAAAGTCATTGATTGAGCAGACAGACAGTCTTGAGGCCCCCAGACATATTTATCGGCCGTGCCAGCGGACCCCAAGGTAGTGCTTCGCTTTGAAGGGCCGTGGGGCAAACTATCCACCATGCAGCTTAGGTACTAGCATTCACCTCCCATCTTAACTGATTGTGGTGAAATCTTCCTTAAGCTATGCAGAAGAGTTTACTGATTATTTAAAAGTAGCAGTCTGTAGTTTCATCTTAAGCAATTTGTCTTTCAGTTTCCAACCAATCGCACTCACCTGACGCCATCACTTATCTACGGGTGCTTTATCAACGGATCCTGCTACGATTCCCTCGTACAGGCCACTAGTTTGAATAAGCAGGTGAGCAGGCAAAGTACACAAAATGTGACAGAAATGGCGTAAATTACTGCATTTATTCTTTTAGCACGTTATTCAGAATGTTTTCCGCCTGACTGCTCATGATGCTGCGGACTACGACGAGGCTATCGCGTTCGGAATGAAACTCATGAGTATTGTGCGTAGTAAAGTGACCTTTCTCTTCTCTGATATTTGTAACTAGCAGGTGTGAAGTTTTTGTAAAACCACTCCACAACCAAGGCCGACATTTGTGCACAAATTGTCTTTCATTCTTTCTCTCTGCTCGACCCTCGACTTAAGTAACACGCGAAATGTGGTTAGAGGGGGCTGCATAAGTGCCAAAATATGCGATGAATTCGTTTGACTAAGCCATTTCAAAATGCGTCACCTACTGCCTTTACTACCACGCGATTTAAGCATTACTGAGCCTTTTATTTCTACAATGCAGTTGTGTGGTTTAGTTGCGGCGTTTCCATAACGTTTTTGTCCATCCAGTGAGATTGAGCGAAATTCGGTTTACAAGTGAAATTGGGACCACCAATGACTTTCTGTCAAAAATTCAAACTTTGCAACACTTTTTCCTGCCTAGAGTTATTTCCTTCAATGGACCATGGCTTGATTTGACTACTTGACACAGCATTGCGTTTAGTACCTCGTACAATGCAGCAAAGCATATTTGATAAAGCACACGCAATCTCTGCCTTTGGTGCCTTCACTGTCGTTCTGTGACTACGAGAGTCACGTTGGCCGATAAAAAATGACTTATCAAACGTCACCAAATAGTGAGTTTTCAGGTGGCCAAGCATTTCAATCAGCTCTTCATTAAATTGTGTTTGCTAAAATATTGTGTGATATTAAGTAATCAAGATATCACATTGAGTTGTGTAGTTTTCAGCCGGAAGGCCAGCATCAGCGCACTGCAACAAAATTCTTGTTCTTATCAGCGATTCGGACATCTACTACAACGATACAACTGTCCAAATTCTTGAGCGCTATCAGGACTACGTAAGCAAATGTTTTTTGTGTAACCTTAGACTAAACATATAAAGGTTTCAAAAAAAACTGCATCTAACTTGAAGTTACACACTGTGAAATTCCATGGATTTTTGTTTAGCCATTTTGGATGTTATATCATACGGCGTTGGTGTTATCATTTAATTTTTCTGTGTTACGAAAAGACAATGTAAACTCTGGAAGATTGCTGTCAGATATATTTGAGGAGAGATTTGGAGTCGGCGCGATTAAACGCCTGAATCTTGTGATGTGATTAGTCCAAAGCCTTTGCTCAATTCGATGTCACCTCAACTTAAAAAAGCCAGCACTCTATTTGTGTTGTTGGAGCTAGCGGAATAGTTGGTACCTTACAATAACCTCATGTCAATTTCAGGTCCACCTATTCACGTACTCTCTGTCTACTATTACTGCATCGGGACCTCTGAATGACGTTGCAAAAAGGATAAACGGTGAGAATTGTGCTTGGCGTTTACTGCCTTGTATGAGAAATTGCAGTCTTTATTCCTTGAGCTGTTGTCTCGCGCTCTTGAATAGTTTATAAGTGCTCCGATTGGCTTTCTGTGATGGGCCGTTGTGGCTACCTCACCGACAGTCGTCCTAGCGTGGGGGTTTGCAGACCTGTCGTGTGGTTGCGTGGCAGCGTCTCCGCCAATACCCGTTCCCAAGTCCTCTGTTCTCACCGACACGTCACGTCCTACAGTCGAGGCTGTCCATTTTGCTAACCCGATCCAGTGCTGAGCAGAGCCATTCGAGTCCATGAAGCCAGCGCAAGTTAATAATCGAACTATCCTACTTCCACCTTGTCCAAAGTCTGTTCTAAATCACTTCAGCTGGCAAAGTAAGCATATGCTAACCCGACTCCATCGTTCTAGCAGCCTCATTTGTGGTGCCTCAACAATTTTGTTCATTCACCTAGTAAAAATTAATCTTTGCGAAGTCAACTCCCGGTTTCAAGTTTTTAGTCGTTAGCACATAACACATTTCCTCAAATTCAGTGGCCTAACGCACAACTTCGTTCCTCATGTCATGAATGTCTTTTTTTTCTGTACGTCAGGGGCATTTGCGCAAATACCAGTGATTGGTGCCTTATCAAATATCCTGAGGGTAAGTTAGTCATATACAAATGCTTGTTTTATAGCTCAAGCTACTCAAACTACTCCACTCTAAGCCAACTGTAAAATCAAAGTTAACAAATCGCTCGAGTTTCGTGACAAGAAAGTCAGTCGCACTGCTCACACGGTTAATGCATCCTTCTGATCGTGTTTTGCCAATAACTACACACCACAACATCAGCTGTGCTTTAAAGTAACTATTAATATTTTTGGTCTCAAGCACTTTACTGATTACGCCACTCACTTCGGCTCCTCAAAGAAACTTCATCCCCAGAAACTGGATCTCGTTGTGCATCATGCCGCCGACATTTTTCCATTCAAGATAGCCGAAGTATGCAAAGATTGGATTGGTCTGTTTGAGCATGGTAACCGCTTCATCGCATGAGCAATGCCCAACTGAATGCCCTTTTTGCACTTTCCTAATAAGTATGTTGACATGTTACTTAAAGACTGACAGTAGGTGAATCTATCTCTTCTCGCATGTTAATTGTTGCCGTTTTAAATTAAGGAGATCGGTCCGATGGCGAGCCTAACTATGGCCGTTTACAACCGATCGGTATGTTGCAATTATTAGTTTATAACGTGGTACGTAATTTTGCTAAGTACTGATCCCGTACACTGTATATTTACTTTAATCCAGTTGTTTATGTGTGATGCGTTATCAATGTTTTGTTTTTATTATGTCATAATATTTAGGTCTACACTCATTCAGGTTGTAAACAATCCTTCTTTCCAAACTCAAGCCTTCATTTTTTCTTAGTCTAAACTTTGGTTTTTGTCAAACGTCACGTTTTTTGACTTCTTTGCACATTGATAAATCGTCGACTCCTGTGTTTTTGGGAACAACCAACAACGTTGAACAAAGTTTAACTTTGTTTTTTTTTTAATAATAAGACTGGCCTCAGCCTTCTGGGCATTATGGGAACTGACGTTTCGGCGCGTGAGATGGTAGATTTACTTCAAACGTACCTGGTGAGTTAGGTGTTATCGTAGGGAAGCAGTTCAGTGTGGAAACAAGACTACTTTACCTTCACTTTTCCCATGCAGAATAGCCCTACGGACTACGCCTTTATGGTGGACAACAACGGTTTTGTCCTTTTCCACCCACTTCTGAGATCCTATGTAAGTTGCCATCCAACGTCGTAATTGACACACTCCATTTCCTACGTAAGAGCTAAAATTAATGCCAGCTCGAACGCAGCAGTAACTAATGTATGTGGAGCTTCTGGTCATGGAATTTCCGAGGATGAGCTGTTCTGTAAGTTGACAACTGCAGTTCCGCTTTGTGGGCTTTTGAAGCAACATAGTTCTTTTGCCAATTTGATTAAACACTTTGTGCATAGCGATTTTTATGATAGCGTGTTAGCAACTCGCAATTGATCCCTGGACCATCCGGTCTCCCATCTCATGGCCTGTTTCCTTAATATCTCCGATTCCATGGCCAACACCCTCATCCAGTATCTGTGGTCATCATGTTGATTTGTTGTCATGAGGTATCTGACTATTTAACTGGAAACGTCCTTTCAGTCAGTTTAACTTTGCATTCCAACAGCATATGGTTTCTCGTAGTAAACGTCTTTATTTAATGTTCAACCCATTCCCGACTGTAATTCCAACACATTGCCTAACCTATGATCTGGAATCTACATTTTATGTGTGGCTTTACCGTGCAAACACCACGGATCGCTGTTGTTATCTCATTCCACATTTTGCAATTTACTTCCGGCTTATTCCTCTATTTTTACCAAATTTTCAGCGCAAACTATCTGCTCAAACAATTGATATTGACATAATGGATATCGAAGCTTCAAACGTTACGGAGATGTTGACGGTAAATTATGACAAAATGCTTTTTACTATAATGCAAATAATTATTAGAGCAATTAAGCTTCTTTATCTCTAAATAGCTTTAATTTTCAACTCTGCTGACCCTCTACACGCGATTTGTTACTCACAGGAACTCTTTAGTTGGAGTTGTGAATTTAAAAAAATTTTTCATTGTGCTTGCAGTCAGGGTCAAATTCAACATTTAAGTCACATTACTTTTCTACATTCATCTAAGTAATTATGATTTTAAGTAAGTGATGTTCTTTACTTATGCATGAAATGGCTTTCTAAGATGTTGTTATCTTTGCCACGAAACCACTTTCTCACGGTATAAAAGCTGTGTGCAATATACTAAAACACTTCCTAGTTTTGTCGCTTTATGGTTCTTAATGGACAGCTATCTGTTGTCATCAGTACATGAGCGGCTAGTTCTCTAAATACCCACCAGTTAATGGGCGTGTACTTTAAAAAGTACGATAATTATGCCTTTACTTGTCGTAAAATGCGAGTCACAAACTTCTGCTTTATACGCTGTCACTTATTAAAACATTACTTTGGCCCTCGAATCTCTACTATTAACGAAACTTTGAAAATGGTTATAGATTGTCTTACTGTCTTATTGTCTTCTTACTAAGTAGATCCGGAAACACCTTATTGACAATCAAGAGGGTGTCACCATTCTTGATGACTTTGCCGTTTTTATGGATGAGGTGAGTAGTTGGTTCACTCGGCCTTAATTCTGTTTAAGTATTTCCATGCGCCCATTTCCTGTGGTTATGAATCTGACGAGAGCCTGAGTTTGACTGTCTGCTTCCCAAATGGAAGTGTATTGATGCAGGGGGTCCTTCGCACCAGCAGACATCTGTTTGCTTTATCTCGTGTCCAATTAGACACATGTTGGAAAAGGGATCCCTTCTTCCGCTTCAAAATGTCGCTAGAATGAAAGGCGACGCATGTTCATGGACACTTAAGAGGTGGTTTGTTGATTAGATCTAATCTATACCTGCGGTATGGAAGATGTGCTATGATTACCACAAATGGGCGTTAGACCAACGATCGATCTATCATGATTGAGCAAAAAGTGTTAAACGTCTTTAGGTTCACGCCCATCGTACACTTCGGACATATGCGTATACACCTATTCCTGAAACGGACTACAGGTAAACTTGCTATTAATTTTCTAGCCACGTAATCGCTTCTAAAATAGTTATCTGTTCCTGACTCATTTTCATCTCCAGCATTTGCGTTGTGACGGCTACAGATCGCGATATTGATGTTCAATACCTCTCTCAGAAAGAGCATTTAGACACTACAGAAGGGACTGTCTTAATTGACGGGCGTAAGTTTAACAAAGGTTATTTTTTTGGTATTTTCCAGTGTCAAGAGCCGTAATGAGGTTATTATTTCCTTTAACCTAAACTAAATTGCAGTTTAATTTTATGAAATGTGAAGAGCAAAGCTGATTAGCAGGTCAAAATTCTAGCCGCTCTACACACATCTCATGTCAGGCCTCAGAAATGAACATGATTCGATTCTTGAAAGCAATCACTTTGAACTGTGTTAGTTGTGTGGACTGCAAATCCCAGTTTCCACCCATGGTGTGTTATCTGCAAGCTAAGTTCTGGTTGTCCAAGGCTTCTGATGGTTCCTTTTACTCATTAGGTGGGTAGTCAGTTAGTAAACCCAAAACCAGAATCTTAATGAACGAATCCCATCAGAAAACACTTTGCCAGGAGTTAATTTGACTTTGCCTGTTGTATATGGGATGTACGTCAATGGATACTTTTATGGTCTACGTCTTTTAGGCCCAGAAATAGTTTTCTGCTAAGATGATCCCCCATTGCTGTGTCTATCAGAATGCGGCATAGTTTTCACTCGAATTCACGGTGAATGTTAATCTAGATTTAGCTATGGTTATTCCGAGAATCGAATACTCTATTACAATGGTTGCTGTACTTTTTAGGGGATATATCATCACTCCTTCTACCCGTAAATGTAGTTTTGTCGCCAATCCTCGCTAACTGTCGTAAGCCAAGCTTTTCGCGTATTCTTGCACCACCGACGACATTGACGACTACAACCACAACAAGTACGACCACAACAACAACACCAGAACCAACCACCACACAGTCATCGACCCTCGACCAGGCGAATACCACTTTGGTGCTGCCCCTGGAGGGCCTCTTCGCCAACGGTGGTCCCGACGGCTTCCCCGAATTATTCACCACCATGGGAGAAAATGCCACGGAGTTGATGACGAATGAAAGTCTGTCTCGAAAAAGACGTGACTGGCTTACAGATTTCTTTGCAGACGATCCTAATGGAGTGGAACAGATTAAAAAAGTCCTGCGTTTTGTCGGGGAATATGATTTTGGTAAGAAACAGCTTATCAACACTGTGGAGAGGTATACTTACATGCATCGATGCACGACAACATCTTTATCACTGCGTAGGATATTGTGGTACAGTCTGTTATTTGTTGAATGAAGACATGGTGCAAGCATGTTGTACGTCATGCTTTCAACCTGGCTTGTGGATAATAGAAATTTTAAAGTTCAGCAACAAAGTCGTTGTACTTTGAGCTAACAAAACGGTAGTTTCTTTGATTTACTCTCAACTACGTGTTTCTTATGTGTCAGGCAATTCTATTAATTGAAACTGATGCGCATGTAAATTGCGTGTTTAAGGACTAATGGTCACTCCTGTAGCAGCTTCGTTAGCGCTAACTTGCAACCCTGCTAGTCGACAGCCCGAGAAGAAAGGCAAGACAGATGATAGCGAATATCAGGCTTCATTTGCATTTCGCCAGCCAAGTCTTTCATATCATAGCGCGTGAGTGCATCTCGAACGTCAACTGTAATCGACAAGCGATGACATTCGATCAACTCGTGAATACGCGTCACTTAGGCTCGTTTGATAAAAGTTTACTACACTTCAACTAGCTCATGATATTTTGAAAATAAATTGCTAGTCTACGAATGGGAACTCATGGGAACATCAAGTTGTATTTTACCTGACTACAATTGCACGCCGACTGCTTTCACAGTGGCCAAGACCATTGGTGGTGTAGGCAGTAGGCAACACACTGTGATGAGTATGTGTGCATACAACGTTTCTTAATTTGGTTTGTGACACTAAGCATTCCGGTTCAAAGGTCACCTACTAAACACGTGTTAAAAATTAATAAAACACAAAGTTAACATACAAAAGCTTCTAACTTTCCCTAGATCTCAAATTGTAGTGGTAGTTATCACGAAGTAATGGAATAAACTATGCTGTCCAACGAATGATCGTAGTTGTGGACGTAGAAAGACGTCTACAAGACTTCCTCGTTTTTTGTGTCACTTGGGCTTTTACACATCGATGCACAAATTACCATTGCTTTATTGTAGTTCTAACTCAACATCACCGTCTCCAAAATGTGTTGCTTCGGACCTCTAGTGTTATAGTCTACATTGAGGATAATTATAATGCACCTGGTGCTTACTAGAGTTATACTTGGGCGATTTCAAGCTTCCCTCTACCACCAGGTAATGGAAGCAGATTGAAGACTAGTCCTACAGGAATGTCCATGTAATGTTATTAATCCCACTAGTGATAAATCTGACATGAGTTAACCTAAATTAGCTGCCCAATTTATTAATATCCAGAATTACTTTGTTCCCGCTTGACTTCACGTCGTTTTTACCACCATAGTGTGCTATTGTCCTCAGATACTTAGCTGTTTGATGAATTCGTTTCCGACATTTCTCTACTGCGCTCGTTTTCCCATCACGACCCAGAAGACAAGGGATTCTGTGAGATGCCTCGCCAACATTCCACTCAAGTTGTGCATGTCTTCCACAGTTATCAGTGATTGTTAGAAATCTGATACAGATTATGAGCAGCTCTAAGTGTAGCTATTTGTAAAGAGCCACTAAAATCAACTAAATTTATTTGCAAAGCACATTTGCTTCAACCCGACTGCGTTACCCACTTTCCACTTGTCAAGATCCATGCCCATTAAATTCGGTATCATTATCTAGCTTCCTTTAATTAGGCAACACATACTATGAGGGCCATTTCCTGTCGGACCTCCTTGTTGGATTGGACGTTCTGCAGGCGTGGGGGTCGTCACCAATGTCTAAGGACGTCATTTCCCGTTCAGTTTTTTTCACTTCTGGTCTGGGATTCATCTATCCATCACAGTAAGTAGTAGCCAGCGTCAATATCAACTAACATTCACACTTGCGGAGCTAATATAGTCATATTTTCCAACTACGCCTGTTGATTTAATGCTTGGACCCTACAGTACCTGGTTTTTTTATAAACCAGTGTTTATTTGCTTAGTCGAGGCTGTAGTTCTCAGTTTATACCCTCAATGATGACTGGGGAATTGATGTATACAGAACTGTATGCACCATGACTATTTGCGTTTGTCTATTCATGGTTTTGTCTAGCACAAAGCAGGAGTTTGAGCCACTCATGACGGCTGACTTTGCAAATTCGTCCATCTGGCAACGTGTGCTCGATTCACATGGATTACTTTTTTGGATTCAACCAAAGCTGACAGGTTTGTGGACTATTTTCATGAATTGCCTATTTCGAATTCCCTTATTAGTGACAAACTGGTTTCCAATATCTTTTTTTTCCATATTGAGCACTCTAAATATTGTCTAAAAGGCTTGATGTGCTGTTTCTTTCTCAACTGGATATGTCGACAGAAGACAATTTTCATCAGCACAAGTAAATCAAGTAAAATAAGTTTAAAGCGCTATCGGACTTTTTGGGGGTACAAAAGCTGACTTTGGGATCAGGGTTTTTTTGGCTGTTAGTTCTAATTGTAATTATTTTGTACCAAGAAATATCGCCTCGAGGTCACTCACTGTACAGGCTCGAGAAGGCTTCGAAAACCAGAGCCAACAGAGGCCATATCCGTCTGTCAGGTGACTCAGCCCAGTCGTGTCGTGCCTGTTCGCACACAAGGTCGGGTATGCTTTTAAGTCACAACAGAGCTCCGTCGTAGAGGTACATGCGGGTGCGCGCTCAGTGGTGATTTGCCGAGGGACATGAAAACGGCTCGACAGAGATGATGATTACAAATTGGCAGAATTCACCTCAATGTACGAAAATGAGGTCCGAATTTAAAAGTAAAAAGTGATTTCACGGATTTTTTAAATGCCGAACTTGATACCTTAAATGTGGGTGAGCCTTCTGTCAAGCGTCTCCAACATTTTTGACTTTAATTTCGATGGTAAATATAAACACCAAGCATGAACTTTTTATCTAGTTTGAAATTTTTAATGTGATTAATGTTTCCAAACAGTGTCGTGTTTTTGAAAACGCTAATAAGTGCTCGATATTTCCTCGTTTGGTTGTTAGCTGTCATCATCGCGTTTCAAACAACCCAATTTGTTCTATTGTTGTCAGTTTAATGCAGTTGGCTGTGAGACCTAAAGGAATCTGAGGCATCACTAGTAGAGTTTTTGTAAAGTACTTTGCAAACCGTTTTGTTGCATACTTAGAACCCCTCGTGCCTGATCTTGAATGGCACTCTTACTTCACCTTCCCACCAACGACAGAACCATCCAGTAAGTGGCAGTTATCATTGTTCAGAATGATTTAAAGTGTCTTGAAGCTACTTAATGAGAACATCCTAGTTCCCTTTTCGCCTGTTGACTTCAATTCATGATACTATGCCAGCGAGAGTCGCTACACCTCAACCTGGACTCGAAAAGCGGTGAACGCAAAGATTCTTAGCTCTGTATTCAGTTATTCAAGAATAAACACCAATCAGTGCACTTCGTAGCTGCCTGCTACCGTTTTGAAGAATTCATTTCTCGATGATGACCATTTATCGTATTTCGCAAAGAAACTATCAGAGTTTGTGACCGTCGGAACTTCTCTGTTTTTAGGTTTTACCACCGTGGAATCGGAGGCGTCTCCTCATCCGGCAGAAACTACAACAGTGTCAGACAAGGGTATGAGACGTCCAGTAAAATTTGCTTCAAAACACGGTCCTGTGACAAAATACCTCCAAGTAGTTCATGTTAAAATCCAAAATTGGCACAACACAATGTGCAACAAAATCTCAGACCACTCTAAAACTCCACAATAATCCGCAATGGCTGCCAACTTTGTTAATAAATTTGAATAAAATGAGGTTCTCTAAGTATAGAAACAAACAGTATGGCGGCAATTCTTTGTGCCATTTGAATGCAATTCAGTTTGTTTATTTGTGCGTAATCCGGAGGTAACCTTACCCTAATTACTATTGGAAACTTTAAAAATGACATTTAAAATTCTCTAATCTCTAAAGTTAAAAAAATGTTATGGCACTGAACGATTTGCATCCGTATTGCATACTTTGATTTAAATTTCGAATCTATGTTTCATGTAGTAAAACCAGTTTAATTCATCTGTTATTTTAATAATAATTGGAATTAAGTTCCATCTGGGTTACCCTGTATATTTGGACTAATATTTGCCAGTGCATAACTTACTGCACAGACGTCTGTACAAATTTGACAGGTTTTGTTAAAAATATCACCATTAAAGTGAAGCCAGCAATGAAAAAGACACACCAATAATGGGAATACGACAGGCTCAGTGCACATGGCTTCAATGCGCCCCTTCATTGTGTACTATCATCCAGAAGACCCCTTTTATGTGGCAAAATGCCGTCACACCGGTCGATTACCACGTCGTCTTCACTACTAACTTTTTCCCAACCCTTAAGTCGCATGAGTAATTTTGTTTTAAACCGTTTACGGAGTCGGAGTCGAATGACGCTAAGGCAACCCCAGACGCCCAAACAGCCACAGGTAAATTTTCTTCAGACCTACGCATGGGACTTCTTTGTTAACCAATAGACTTGCTTCTTTCATATCCTTTGTTAGGTGCCGTGTAGGTTAATAACAGGCTTCCATTTGATTACATGCATTATTAGAAGGCTGGGCCATGGCTACTCTGACCAAGGATAAAAGCCCTACCACCTCCATTCCCATCTTTAGCCAGTTATATTTATGCCTACCTTTGTCGCTTTTCACGACATGTACATCGAGGCAGCTTGGTACAATTTTCGCAAAATTGTTTAGAAGATGGTTGACCACTTTGGGCTCTCTTATTCAATATGTGTTTCTTTGTAAGTTTCGGTGTTCCAAAGTTCCAGTCCAAGACTTTTAGGTGTAGACAAAATTCACACTGGTCGACGCGTTTGCACTTATGCTTTTTGAACACACTCATTCTTCTGTAATTGACTGCAACATTTGAAGCCAAATATACAGAGATTTGACAGCATTGCCATTGGTGAGCATCAACAGGAATTGACTCTTTCGTCACGACACACATGTAACCGTGTGTCTTATAGGTTACCACATCCACATCCAAGAGGAAGTTACATTTTCCTGGGGGGTAAATGTCATTGGTTTTAGGTTTGAAGGGTCTATATTGAAATGCTTGAGTTTATCAGATTGCGTTACGCTTCGCTAAAAGACAACGTTTGACACATCTTTGTAGTCGGTTTTGCAGAAACTTTGAATAGCTACAGACCCGCTAGAAGTAGCAGCTGGATAAAATGCGCAACCAGCACATTTGTTTAAATCCTTATTTTAGTTTGGTCATCTCAAAATTAAATCCGCGTTCAAATTAGACGTCGTGAAATCTGCACTAACACTAGCTACCAACAACGCTACACTCTTGCCAATCTTGCATGATTATGAATAAGTAATTCTAGAATAGGAATCCGTAGGAGAACAAAACATAACCATCTTTCGTGGTAGATCCAAGGACATTGTACGTTTTGTTAATCAATATCAAATTAAAATTCAGCAATCAAAATCAAAATTACGCGTTAATTGCTCATGCATTCAATTACTAACTTGCATTGACTGCGTCTGGCTCACTTAGTTTGGAACACTTTTTCGTGTCTTAGCCTGGCATCGCCTGTCTTTTTATTATTCTTGGACACTATAATAAATTAAGCGTTTTAGAGTCTAAAAACAGCACTGCATGTCGTTACAGAACCGCATTTTCATCTTACCTAGACTTTAATTTCTGTCTTTCAACCAAGTACTAGTTAAATGATAAGCGCTTACCACTCATGCACTTAGTATCCTACAATTTATTTTTAATTTCAAATGCCTCTTCACTGATATCTGACCTGCTGGTACAAGTTTGGGGGTCAGCCAGTGATATATTTAGTAATACACTCAAGGAATTTATTGTAAATAGTACTTCCATGAAAAAAAAGTTTTTGTGAAATCACCAACTCCACTCACTGAGTTTCGCCTTGCCCTGAAACCCACACAGCGCAAATACCACCTGCTTCCTTTTGCTCTTACAGAAATACAAATCTAAAAACATTTAAGGGTCACTGTCGAATCGTCATGATACACGGCACACCTCACACTTGCTATTTACTAACATGCTCACAATTTGAACACGTGAAAATTCCTCCGCTAGTTGGCCTGATAAAGATACAGCACCAAAACCTTGTTTCGTAATGTTTGTGGCCCCTGCTTAACCTAGTCCATTGCTAGTTCATCAATTTACTAGCACTGAATTCCCTGGTCCGACCAAATTAAAGTTTTTGCTCCCAGAAAATTTTCATTTGGGTCAATTCAGGGCCAAAATTCATGCTTGGCGTTTTGACTTACTGATGCATTGTAGAACTGTACCGATGTTTTCAAGTCATTTTTGTCCTCATTTGCGCTCCCTTGCACTAAGCTCATATTACTTGTTTCCAAAAATCGATTCAGAATGCATTTGAGTAACCTAACATATCGCGCTTAAAGTACCAAGAAACAGTAGTTCCAGGGATGCAAGTTGCTCAAAATCGCCGATTATTTTGCGTTTTTTAACCACTTCGTTGCCTAACTCTGATTCTGCCTGTTTGACAGTTCACAGCCTACCGGACCTCCCACCTATTCCTGAAATCCCCACCACTTCAAGTAAGGATACTTTGACATCAATGGTCCTCCATTTGCATGATTTAAATGCATTGGAACAAGCCTGTATGCTCACCTACAACCCATCAACTATTTGCATGCTCGCACCTGTCATAACACTCTGGATGTGCTTAATTAAGTTTACCTACATGGGCCGTTTGGTCGCGACATCCGAATTCACGAGATTGTTACGCTTGCCTGGATGGTAAAGACTGTTGTTATACCGTTTACAAGATCCACATTGCGGTGATTAGATTTTATTGAATACGTCAACCTTTGCTAAAAGGCAACGTATTTCAAAGATTTGATAAAAATAGCACTACAATGAAATCCTTATGTTGGTTTGGTCATCTCACTAATAACGTCGATTTTCTAATTAGGCGTCGCGGATTCTGCACTAACACGGTTTGTCGCTCACAACAGAGTCAGACTCTTTATAACCTTACACGATTTTGTATAAGTAATTCTGGGCAAAGAATTCGAAGAGGATTATAACATTACGATCTTTCGGGGTAGATCAAAGGGGGTTTGCGCATTTTAGTAATCGATTACCACACAAAATTTCTGGATCAACTGCTCGTGTTGATGCTCGTGGCTCTAACGTTTTTCCAAATTAAATTCTTCGTCCACGAGTTGATAGCTGCACTGAGTCTGGCTCATTAAGTTTGCGACTCTTTTTTCATGTCTTCGTCTGCCATTGTTCTCGGACACTACAACAAATTAAGCAGTTTACAGAGTAGTATGGCACCGCATGTCGCCACCTAACCTTTTCTTTTTTTACCCCAATTTTGATTTTTGTCGTTTAGCTAATATTAGTTTAATAGGCAGTGTTTAAAGGTTAGGCGCCTACCTCTTATAAATCTAGTGTCCCAGAATATGCTTTCAGTTTCAAAATGTTATTTCGATGATTTCTGGCCTGCTGGTACAAATTTGGAAAAACCGACGGTGATATTGTTGGTATTACCTCCCTAGACTCCACCGCAAATATTACCTATATGATTAAAAAATGGATTTCGATTAACTCAATTACTCGCACCCACTGATTTTCACCAAGTCTCGAATCTAATTTGACATGCATCACACTTGCTTTACTTTGCTCTTACAGGAACACAAATTTCAAAACATTCTACGTTCACTGTTTCGTGATCATAATACACGATGCGCCTCACATTTGTTATTCAGTAATATACTCACGCTGTTAACACCGCGTGATTCATTGGCGAGTTGGCCCATTCAATGGCATAAGGTCTGGGTCTTGTTGACATGTTTGTGGCTCTTGCTTACTCTCGTCTATTGCCGGTCTCAGAAATTCATACTGCTATCACCGAGTCCCCTAACTTGACCAAATTAAAACTTTAGCTTTCAAAAAATTTCACTCACTTTACTCAATTTGAAGCTAAAATGTCTAATTGACATGTCTTTCTGTTGCATTAACATTATACCAGTGCTTTCTAGTTGCAGCGTATCTTCTTTTGCGCTCCCCTAAAATGAGCGCCGACACGTGCTTTACCTCACATTTCTTGTTTCAGGAGTTTTTTTCTAAACATATTAAAGTAACAATACATATTGTGCGTAGTGTGCGAAAAAGGGTGGTACCAAAGAAGCAAGTTGCGTTAAATCGTTGATTATTTTGTGTTTCTTTATACATTTCATCGTGCAATTTTGATTATTTTTGTTTGGCAGCCCACCGCCTACCGGACCTTCCACCTATTCCTGAAATCCCCACCACTTCAGGTAACGATACTTTGACGTGAATGTTTTCCAATTGCATTGGAACAAACCTGACGCCCATCTACAACCCATCAATTGTTTGCATGCTCTCCCCCGTTAGGCAGGAAATGTTTACGCATAGATGTCTTTACAAGTTATAAATTTGGGGAAACGCAAGACGTAGACTGCAAGCGGACTGAAAGTTTGTTGTGGTCGGACTTCAAATTATAGCATCCTTGATGGGAAATTTTACCCGAACCACTGATGTTTACAAACATCTGCTTTTAATTAAACGATTTTCCGTCATTTTACGCGTTTCAACAGAAATCTTAAACCAGGTTTCAGTCTTTACACTTCCGTGGGGGGCTAACTGGGCATGTCTATTCAACTGCCAACTCCATGGCACCTTGTAGGTTGCTTTTTCTATCTTTCTCGGAAAGAAAATTTGTGGCCGGTTGTTGATCGCGTTACACCATGTTCGGACTTTTCGCCATATTGGTGATCGTCTAGTCCACAGATCTGTGATGCTAAAAGGAGGTTTTTACCCTGTAATTGTACATTCATTTCACCACTTGAAGTGTGGTTGATTCTGCTCTGAGCTTTTATCTCTGACTTTTCTTTCCCCTTTATTAACTGGAGCTAGGGGATTTTCCATCGTCAGAGTTAACATCAGCTTGATGCACTTGCCGCATGACTTTACCAGGCGTTCCATAAGGGCTATTTCGTTGATTTTACTCGAGCTTATCGCCAAGGACCTCGCCATAAACCCGCTCAGGTTCATATGCATGACTTCGTGTGTGCATTTTAATTTCTCACATAAAGTCCATGAGCCTTATTGTGGCTCTTATTTCATTAAAATGACTGCTTCTGAATGCGTCAATTTCTCCACATCAAGCATCAGCGATTAAGAAATGTGTAACGAACAGTGATTTACTTTATTCCAACAGGAGTCTCAAGCACTGATGAATTGGACGTTACCACACTTTCAGATGTCCCCTTAAATGGTGCGTTGCAAGACCCTGTTAATTTGGCTTTTCATAATCGAAACCACCCTTGCTGTATTTCCCTGACCTAGACACCGTTGGCACCGCGGAAAGTACTCTGATGTCTGAGGTGGCCCAAGTGAAGCGCGTGTTGAGACAGTTGCGAGCCGAGGATGTGCCACTCGAGGCTGCGCAGGGTGATTTACCTGTTGCCAGCGAGCCGACGACTTATGTAGAAGACAAAGTAACAGAGACCTCCTCTGAAATAACCACAGATGCTGGTTCGACATTTGATAGTGGCGAAACTGAGTCAACAACAACAACAACGAAAGCATCAACAACGACTCCCCTGACCTCCACAACTACTTCGACGACAGCTACACCTGAAATTGTCCCCTTGCCGAGCGTGACGGTGTTTTTGGGTGCTAAGGCCTCTCAAGGAGGGCTCACCAACACCTTTGCTGGTAAGACGAATGGGAACACATGCATGTGCATTAGTGCCCGGCCTATGACATGTTCAATTGCCTTCGGCAATCACTCGTCTTTTGAGAATGAAAATAAAAGTAGGAATTATTGAAGGGATTTAACTATACTAATCAATTCCTAGTTTCTTAATAATTCAAACTTTTCAATTGGCGACAATCATCATAAAAGTAAAAAAAATCTTGGTATCTCTGTAGCCACGAGTAAATAAGGTCATCAATTCTGACTTGCTTCAAAATAGTTGCTTGTGATCAACGTGAGCAAATTCGTGTCTGTATCTGTTTGAAAAAAAACATCCATCCGAACCCTTTAAAATCTGTCAGGGACTAAGAATATGTTCGGAAAAGGCCTTTCAGCCACGCCTCAGAACTCCGCTCGGGGTCAAGATGGGCTCCATGTCGTGAAAACAGGCCCCAACGGGAATCAAATGCACCACTTAAGTTATTTGAATTCGCGTCTTTTTTCATCTCTTTGGTAGTTTCGTGAAAAACACTTGAGGCAAGCATTACAATAATTAATTTAATTTATAGAATCATCTTTTATCCTGCCAAGGCATCTTGATTTCTGTGCCTTTACGTTTGACACATGGGTCAAGGGTTACTGAGTTTTCCTACGCCTAGGTTCTGGCAATAAAAATAACTTAAATCAGATTTTTAAATTAAGACTTTATAATGCTGATATTTACCGTAGAACCTCCCATAAATGGCGCGGCAGCTAAGGAGATGACTCAATTTATTAAACACAAATTCCTTTCTTCACCCTAGCTACTGATTTGAAATTTCTCAAAATGCCGTTTTAATTCATTCCTAACTGCCAAACTGAAAATGACCATTCAGAGACACACATTTAACTGTTCTACTATATTCCTAAAGATCGTATTTAAATCAAAAAAATAAAATTATTTTTTTCTTAATTTAGTTGTCGGACTGACTTTGGGTGAAGCTTATTTACAAAACCTTTTGATGCAGTTTCCAAACTGTGACGAAAGAAATACCTGCTATCTCCTGGATGATGCAGCTTTCGTAATGGCTGTAAACAACGAAAAACTCAATTATCAGGTAAGCATGTGGTCCCTACCCTATCCCGATTTTGTTTTAAGCAGTTGTGTTGAGAAGCAAAAGTATTTTGGTTATTCAAACGACCTCTGCATGCGATGTTGGGTCCAATCTCGAAAATCTCATTCTACATTTAATTACAATCTTCATTCCAAGGAAAGTATGGGTGTCTCACACAATACACGTTGGAAATATCGCAGTCTTACGTGAAGCCTATGATTATTTTGGTTCTACAGACCCTCACAGACAAAATTTTGGGCACAGCTCGGTGTGATGTCGGTGGCTCCTGTGTTTGATGAGTGACACTAGCAATTTTGAAGGCAGGAACTTGAAGTCTCTTGAGGGCTGCTTTTTTCCAGTACCTTTGTCATCATCATAACATGACTGGTCGTTTTGCCTAAGTGTCAAATGTGTAACTGGTCACCACACCACTTCTCGATATAATTTTGATATTTTTGTGAATAGAAATGGCTGGCAGGACAGGCCCTTCTTCTGTATTTAGGTCAGTCATTTCCTTGGACATGTCGACCCTCCTCTAATGGAATCCCTCCTAGAAAAGTCTGTGTACAATAAGTAAGTTGAACTTTTTTAACGTCAGAAGTGAACATCAGTAACAATTTTAGCGCAATTTCTCATGTGGCTCAGTTCATTAGTAAAAAAAGTGCTTTGTTATGCAGTAATAAAGTTCTGATTGACAGATGCTAGTTGTTGCCTGCGTAAAAGCTGACCTGTGTGGCTAAACCTTTGCCTGATTTCGCGGCAGTCAAGCATTCATCCACAAAGCGCGCCACACGTAAATTCGCTGATGTGGAAGTCAAAGTCAATGTCAACTGTGCGCACGACTGAGCAGATTCCAATTTCCACTGGTGGCACATGCATCAGTCATAATAGCCTACAGGTCTTGTACAAGTGCCTTGAAAGCTGACTGTGGCAGGTCTTGACACCTTTATTCCCTTTAGAGTGAAGTACTACGACTACCAAGCAGTTTGCGATTCTGTCCACCTCGGTGACAAAAATTGCACCTCACCTGCGACCCGCCTTATGCCGGTAAGCAAAGTCTCAAATAGTGACATACAATACCAGGCAAGGTACAGAATTTTCCTGATCGCATTGTTGTCTTTTAGAGCGTTCTAAAGAGCCTCTGTCGAGTCCTGCATCCCAGTTTTTGGGCATCTCTTTTCCGCCACCTTTTATCTGCCACTATTAAATTAGCACAGTGAGTTAGCAAACGTTTGAATGCTTTAGAAGACCACCATGTAAGTTTTATGTTTAAGCACTTTGTGTTACCTTTTAGCGTCTTCATTGCGTTACCGCAAATGTTCACGAGTGAGTTATTTTAATAATCGGACACAATTAGCGGTTTAATGAAAGGCCGTTTGTCTTTGAGAAAAAAACACGCACCGCAGGTTTTACCACTGTGATGAAATTGCTTCGCTTTAGTAATTCACTCTATCATTCTAACCTAGACAGGATTTAGCAAATCGTCATTCATATCTGAGTTTAAAAATTACAAAAACAAAAAATAAATGGCTTTTAGTAGCATTCAATGTTTCGAGGAATGCATCTAATGCGACTGTATTTGTCCTATTACTCTGTGCACTGGGAAATGGGTAAGGTACTTAAGTATTTCTGACATTCATTTTACGGTAAGAACACAACCTTTCACAATGATGTGGCCATATTTTGTGGACCTCTTTTGAGACCCCTAACCTTCAGATGGCCTTAACGCCTGGTTTATACGCGCTGCGGACATTTACCTAGTGCATTACTTAAGGTTTTTCCGGTGCTGCAGATACCCTTGCCATTGACCTCGGAGTTGACTACGTGAATTGTGTCAAATCGACTTACCGTTACTACGCCGCGGATGGGGCCAACTTTGGAAAGCAGTCGCCGAGCTTGGCAGAGGTCAGCGGGATCTTCACCTGTTCTCCAGAGTGCACCCGCGAGTGGTCAGCATCATCAATCCCTGAAACCAACCTTAAACTCATAAAAACGAGTCGCGTCTGCTCGTGTATCAAAAAAGAATACGACTGGAAACTCACTCCTTCAATCGGTGCGTTTCACAACCCTCAGTAGATAACACCTTTTGTGTCGGGTTGGATTACACCAATAGTGACTCAAACCTGTACGTCGGTTGTAGTGTATGCGATCGTCGTAACTCGTGGTCACTCAGTAGAAGGCAGTTGAGTTTCTATTCATTCGTTCAGTTTGCACCATATTAGAGCTCTGCAGAGCTTGTCCAAAGCTTTCTTGGATTACTTGAAGTTCTGCGATTTCCTAGCCCTTTTTTGTCATTGCATTATTTGTCATTACTGCTGTACCTTACCCCCAAATTATAGAAGCTGCTGCCAGGTGAAAAGGCGATGATCTTACACATTTTAATGTGTTTTTTACGCACAATGTACTAGTAGTCATGCACTTCACTCTTAAACCATGGTCGGCATTTCCATGGTTTGGTGTTAATTTTAGCTAATGAGAACGACACGCACTATTCACTAAAATCTCACACACATTTTGGATCATTCACGCTTGATAAATTCGCCATTTGTGCTCATTTTAGCTGAGGACATTACGATCTGCCAATCGGCTCAGAACCCGCGATACCGGCGTCCGATCACCGCCTGTACGGTATAAAGCATCACAACTCCGCGTCTGCTGTCAAATTCGCGTTAGTCTTTCAGCTTACGACATGTTCAGTTGCTTCTCATTACTTTAGCAAGCACAGCAATGCCCCAAGTAGTGTGTTCGATGGATTGAGTTATTATTACTTACAGTGCCTGTGTTTCATAATAATTATGCAGTCATATTAAACTCACTTATATCAATGGATGCCTCTTTTTTACTAGTCAACACAAACGACTCCAATTTTAAGAAAAATTGCACAGTTAATGCTTCAAACATCTTTTGTGTGACTGTGGTTTTATAGATAAATCGAATCCGATTTGGGCTACTATCATATTTCGTCTGTGTGGAGAAATAGAGATGATAAGTATTACTCTAAAAGAATTTAGATGGCAAATACCCCATGCGATGGACGAAAGAAAACACGCATATTTCATCACGCATATCTTGTTAAAATTATGTACATTTCTTGTTCAATTGAAATCAGAAAAAAATATATTCGGTTATTTAAAGAGAGGCAAAGAAATACTTAACGAAGCATAACTGTCTGTCGTGTGTTTGGTGGAGTATGACGCGTGCAGAATGTATAAACCAGGGTAAGGACGGTAGAAAGTACTATATTTGGTTTTGCCTGGCTGCAGTTCGATCTGGCGTTTGTGTAATCTGCTGTTCAGACGTCTCTCGTTCTTGGCGGTGGCAGTGGTTGCGGTGGATGCTGCAAAAAATGGGGCAGCTGGAAAGGTGGTCCACTGCCCGAGACCACGGCTGTACTGAATGGTGGTGGAGGTGGCGGCATATGCAGTCCTCCGGGATAGGGCATTTCGAAGCGTCTGGACGGGTCAAACGACTGTGGCTGCAGCTTGGTTGGCTGGAATGGGTTTATTGTTGGGAGTTGAGACGCGTTTGAGGGGGAGTTGTAGTCGTTGTTGACCGATTCCTTCCCATCGGACTGCTGGTCGGGGCTCTTTGAGTCCATTTTCATGGTGGAGGGGAAGTGGAAGGGTGGAGGTGCACCCGGATACGCCCCGTTGTATGGCGGCAGGGTGTTGGGGTGTGATGGCGCGCCCGAGTCGAGGCTGGAGACGGTGCTGGGACAGCCGCTTCGAGAACCTCCTCCTCCTCCTCCGTCGCCTCCTGCTCCATGTCCTTCGTCAGTTCCACTGTCTTGTTTACTGTTGGCGTTGTTAAGGTTTGGTGCGCGGGCCTGCAGCTTCTTGCTTTTCATCCGGCGGTTTTGGAACCACACTTTTACCTAGAGGCAGCACAGAAGCAGTCGTATCCCTTTAGCTTTAATTAAACCCGAAAAAATTGCATCTAATAGGAAGATCAGGTAAAATCGTTATAAACACGAGCTTCCTTAAAAATACGATGCCACTGCCTGCTTTCTTTCATCATCATCAACTTCATTCCAGCACAGTCATCGTATGATTTAATTTATATTCTACGTCAACGTTCGGATCAAACTCCTGGCACAATGCCCTTTAAGTCCTACGCGGTAGTTCACATTCACCAACTTTTCCCCCTTAAAAATTTGGGGACTTACAACTCTATTGGATATGTTCATTATTCTTATACCGATTTCGGGTAATTTAGCAGTTCCTTAAAACTCAACACACTCTACGAACCTGTCGCTCCGTTAGATGCAGTTTGCAGGAAATCTCCCACCGCTTTTGTCGAGTGATGTACGTTGCCACAAGATATTCGTTTTCTAGTACCATTGTCTGGTATCGTGTGTAGGGCTTCCTCTTTTTCCTGCCACGAGGTGCGTCTAAAAATAGAATTTTAATAGGACGCTACTAGTAATAATGAGTAGAAGACATTTAAGGGCTTGGGTGACCGACGGAAGATGGCGATGTGTTTATCAGATCATGCTCCAAATTATTCAACACCTACCATCTTCGTCCGCATTATTTGGCATCATCGAAGATGGCATGAAACAAGGTGGCGGACCCAGCCGATTCATACTGTCTGATGAAGTTGGTATAGGTGCCATTGGTGTAGAGCCATTCCCCAGGGCCAAAGCTGCCGCCGCGGCAGCCGCCTGAACGCTGTTTGCAATTCTTGGTGTCTGAAAGAGGCCCGGCGGCGGTGGTGGGCCATGGGACTGCTGTTGCGGTGCCTGCGGTCCAAAGTACTGTTGGTGGGAGTGTGGCGGTGGGTGGGACGTGGAAGGAGGAAGAACTGCTGACATCATGCCGGTCTGAGGGTGAGGAACAGGATTCGGGGACGACTGGAATAGGCTACGCGGAGGTGGTGGCAGACGTCCGCCAAGACCAGGTGTTCCACCAGTAAGAGTATCCAAGAATCCTTCCGTGGGGTGCTGCTGTCCCAGTAAGGACTGTTCGCCGACACCTCATAGAATTTAAATGAAGGGTAACTTGCGGAGTCCAGAGCAGACTAATTTTTGTAGGGGAATTTTCAATGCTAGTAACGATTTCAATAACTGTTTACTGCCACCACTCGTGTAACCAAAACACCTAATTAGAACTTCTAAAAGTCACAACAGTCCTGTTTAGCAAACATCAGAGAAATGCTGTTGGTCAAATTCCCTTCACGCCCTCTGACTCAAAAGGCCTCATTCATCCGAGAAAGTGTGGAAAACGAGAGTTGTCACAGGTGCATGAAGGCACTCAAATATGTTATGTGACCAAACGAATGATATATTCTGGATTTGGAAATACATTTCGCTTTGATAACCAGCGAAGATTTTTGACAGCTTGTAAGAAAGCAAAGATTGTTCAATACTTGTTAAAAATACCTCAGTGGAAAGGGTGACAAAGTCTGAGTGCAGACTTTTCAGCGATCCAGCGCATAACTATCATGCTGTTTGTGTGCCAGTGAACAGAGTTGTGTGAAGCTTAGCTTTGATATGCGAAAAATATTTGTAGTACTGGGGTTTCGTCATCTGCACATCTTACTCAACTACTGCTTTATCGTAGACGTCTTTTAAAAGACCAAACGAAACTTGAGTGATCGGCCATTAAAGTTATGCGCGAAATAGATCGAATCTCGTCAGAGAACTGACTCCACTATCTCAGGTAAGTGGCTAATTCTGAATAAAAACTTTTCAATTTCGGAAGCAGCTTCCTTGCAGGTCGCTGCCGATCTCCTGCTCTTAACCATGCCAAGTTGTCTCCTGAAGGGCTGTGATCCAAATCGGAAATAAACAGTCAAGATGGCTTTTATTTGCGATCTGATCATTTGGCTCATCTGTCGTCTCCGCAAACGGAACTGGACTGACGTAGATTTCCAATTCAATGCTAAAAATCTCGTATTCTCAAAGTAATATGACTCCTGGGTTTTTAACTGCGCCCAGCTTCACGTTTTCACACTCATTTACTTTGAGCCCCGTAGTTGACTCAGTGGGAAAATTCGCACATTCACGCAGCATTCTAAGCACCCCGCGGTTGGAGTGGTATTTTAGACGGAGTGCACATGAGTTGTGTTTGAGGTGGAAAAAAACCCTACACAAAGAACGCGGCCGATTCTGCAACTGGGACGCCCCATAACCTTGGTTAGGAACCCTTTACTACCATAAGTTAAGTACCGATCAAATTAAAGTAAGTTTAATTTTCTTCCAAAATAGTCCTTAGGCATCTGAAAATTAAAGTTGCCAATGACAAATTAAGTTATTTCCAGGCCAAATTTAGAGTATGCAACTCGCTGATAGAAATTTAATGTCAGAGAATCCCGTCCCCGCTACTAGCATTATCTGATTACTTACTCATACCAGTGCACCAAAAGCAAAAAGTTGATTGTTGATTCTGAAACGCCTGTGATGGCCGATGCTCCATTATGAGTTTATTTAGGTGTCCGGCTTGTTGAGCATAATTTCGTTGCATTATCTTGCATCGTTAGACAGTGATTTCACACACAAAAAACACGTGAAAATCGAGTTTAACGCAGCCGATTATAACTTTGCAATATAACATGTTCACGTAACTGAGTGCTAACAGTCTCGCCGATGCAACGGAAAATGAGTAAATGTTCAGCTATTTAGTCCTGTCAGCATATTAAAATGGGAAAATTGCACATGTGTGCCTTTATATTTACATTTTGGTCATGATTTTCCCTTTTTTTACCACACTGGTTTTGTTAGGACACTGTTCAAATCAGCCCCTAACAGTATGTTTCTCTACGTGTAGTATAAATTCACGGTTAAGCCCTTGTTATTTGCTGTACTTATAGTCGAAATATTTACTGTTTAGAACAACCTAGATAAAAAGTTCAAAGTCGCGGGTTCCTTCCCGTTCTTCGCTTCCACCAAGTGTGTCTGTTAGTGTTTAAGCTGCTGTTGTTTACATGTGTAATTCAAGTCTCTCTGTTGTTTTTGCTATCTAGAGAAGAAGCTATAGTCTATATCCTCAGAAACCGACTTTGTTGTTTTGTTTTGAGCAATACCTCACTAATTTATCAAACAGGGCTCCGAGCATGACGTTCCTCTGGTTCAGCGCACGCCCAATCACAGTTGTCAAAACTTACCACTGAAGCCTGGAACTCCAGAATTTTCATATCTTGGCATGTCAATCATCCTTCCAGGCCCTCCACCAGCCTGTCGCAGACTGTTCATTGCAGCTGCTCCCGCCGAAACTGTTGTCGGCGTGGGAACACCCGCAATCTCCCTCAACAGTGCACCCAATGATTTTGAGTCTCCAAGAGCCTGATCACTATCACTACAACTTCGGGTTGGCACACTCCCAGCAGAGCTGAATGGGGGACTCCGAAGTCTGCCAGCGGACTGGGGTGGAGAGGGGGCTTCTGTGTTGAAGGGTCGGTAAAGAGGGCGATGTTGTACGGCCAGAGCAGCCGCAGCTTGCAGAGATGGGGAGTTAACGAATTCTCCACTCGTTACCCCGTTTCCCACGAACCCAGACAAGTCCGAAAGAAAGTCAGGTTGTGGTGGGGGCTTCCGAAAAGTCATTTCGTTGGCGGCTTTTGAGGATTGCTGCATGAGTTGCTGCAGGGGGTAGGTGGAGGGCATGCGGGAAAATGAGGAAATGGAATAATCTGTGACTCCGCCATGGTAATCCGACTCGGAAAGTATCGGCTGAGGAGTCGACTGGGGTGGCTGACTGGGAGGCTGTGAGAATACACTCGACTGCGTATTGATCATGCTCGAGGTTGTGTAAGGATTCCGAAGATCAAACGTATTTTGTATACTGGCCATTTTAACTGAAATGTGAATTGAAAGGATTTGTAAGCACTAAATATATTTAAGGTGTTGCAGAGGTAACTGCTGATTCCTTGTGCAAAAAAGTATTGTCCTCCATTTACTCATGTTAAGCATTGCTGTGACACAAATATCTCATTAATTCTCAATCATTTGCGGTGGTTCAATGGCTAATGGTCGCGCCTTCGGTAGTGGATCAACCGTGTCGCAGTAGTCATGTAAACGTGAACCAACACGTTTGTTTGAGGCAGGCTGAACTTCAAACAATTAGTCCGGCTATTTGTCACGTAATTGTTATAATTCACAAAACTAACTTTTATGACTATTAAAATCAATTCATGAGACACTTGGGAGCCCTTAAATGAAATACTATGGTGTTTATTAGTACGCCTACGTAGTATGCATCCAAGATAGTTTGCGAATGTTCTCATTTTGTTTGCCTACAAACTACAACATTATTTTTTTACCCGAATAAACGTCAAGTCTTTGTGACAATGACCTTCTCTTCCCTTTCTGGTTGCGCTGTCTGCAACTCAATCCTTCAACCATATTTCCCCCTGCCTATTGCAATCATGATGAATGACTCCTCGATTCGTCGTAACCGAGCACAATACCTAGTTTGAAATTTTTTTCCAAAATACCTCGAAAGCAGAGGAATAGGGTTGTTCCACCTGTTGCTGCTGCTTTATAATTACTTGAAGTGCCGACAGGCCTCGTGGGACGGAATGGGTTAGTCCTTTGAAAGAAGCCAAGAGCAGAATCATCGCACATTGCCCCAGCTCCAGTCCATCGTAAGATTGATTGTTATTCTGTGTGTAATTTTATGCTGACGTTTTGTCCTTAATTCCTGCCAACGGACCCATCAGCCATGGTACATGTAACTCACCTCAAGCCAGTAAGGTAATTCTGTGGTATGGGTGGAATTTTTAATGAAAAGGAAGACGAGTGTAAATGTCTAACTCAAAGGTGACATAATGTACAAAAGACGCAATGGTTTTTCCGGTTTCGGGAAAATTATACATCGACCTGTTATGGTAATCCACATGCACTTAGGTAAGGAAACACAAGCGGAGTTCCAAAAATTTTCATGTTGCTTCTTTACAAGATCGAAAGCTGTATGGGCAAGAGGCGTGATCTTGGATTGGACACTACTGGTTGATTACTTTTAGTCACGTGGTTGATGACAATAATCCAATCAGATCGGCTGACGCTTTGACCAATCATCCGTTGCACTCGTTGCACTATTCGCGCAAATATACACTACGAGGTATAAGTCCCTGAGAGAAATCCGTTCCCAGACCTGGCCTCAGGTGGTTCTCGGCTTAAATAAGTCCAATAAATTGCTGAACAATGTGAATGAACCGCAGGATTTTGGATTTTGAGTTACTTCTAGAATATGAGAAATTTTTGACTGTATCAGAGTCTGCATAACACATTGAACATGGATGGCCTAATTCCACCCCTCGTTCACAAAACCAGAAAGCCAAACCAGCTAAATATATTAAGACGCTGAAAAAAGGAGAAAGCATTCAATGATTCCATGGCTGATTACAGATTATGCATTCTAACAGCACTCTGCCTCAGGCTATAGAATTCTACTGCCGTTTAGACATTTAAAAAATAACCTGACCCACTTCTGGACGTTTAGCTTCTAGCTCCCCAGGATGTGATAATGTGGAGTGGAAGCTATAGTGAATTTTAGCGTGGAAAACAACAGCTGTATAAAATTTAGTTGCCACTTTAATGCAGTAACAGCCGACTGAGAGGGAAACTATGCCCCCACGGCCCATGCCCAGTTCCAACCTAGGAATTTGACTATAATCAGTCCTATTAACAAGCGTTATTATATGTTAAATCTCCTCTTTGTATTGAGACATTTAATATGTTTCTTTGCTGTTTCGAATCTCTTATTTGGCTTGGAACGTTTTCTCATTTAGCGCGAAAACCCGGCCAGTGTGCATGTGTTTCCTCAAGTGGTTTTCAAAAGCTAGTGATTAATTGGCCCAGCACATGTGTCTCCCCACGAGAGGAGGAGGCGGAGGAGGATGAGGTGAAGTCAGCAAAGCACGCACTAATACACCACTTTCAGTCTTTTAAATGCCTATAATGGATTTCATGTGCACACGTGTCTGCGTGTTTGTGTGCGTTCATTCGGATACATCAAAGGAAACCGTCTGGTCTTCGAAGAGCACTGCTGCATTGCCTTCGTGAAGAAACTGAGAAGCACCGAACTTAATTGGGATGAGTTTTGAGAAGAATTGCATAAAAATTAAGCAAAGCTTATGGTGAAAATGAAAAAAGAATAGTACAAAGCAGGTCGGTACAATCTACAACTCATTATTTACACTGCTTGGTTGTATTCATTTCGGAAAAGATAAAATTATTTCAGACCAAGAGTTTATTCAAAGATGTGTTTCTAAACATGGGATCATCCTCTAGTGGTCAGGTTAAGATCAGCTAGAATTTACCTAGCGGCCACAATTACTTTAGTGGTAAAATGGCGAAACGTCTTTACCTAATCTTAGCGTCATTCTCGCCTGATGTCCAAAAATCTAATAGAATAAATCATCATGTGATTGTTATTTCCATCATATCTGCTTACTTCCAATGACGTTACCATTAGTCTTTCAATACAAAAGACAGCCATGCCATGGCACAGGCAACCGTTGGCACTCAGGCAAATTCGCACCTGAACACAGACAGCCCCAGGAGTCCTTTCTATAAGTGGCTAGAATAGGGTTAATGCCTCCAACGCTTCAATGCTGAGATGTCTGACGGTTTAGCTGAAAATGTTTATTCTGATACTTTGACACAACATTTATCTGACCATCAGAAATTATTAATAAGACTTAAGCTGCGTAATTACCATAAATTATGAATCCCTATTTAGCAGAGTTATTTTCAGATATGATTAACGCGAGTGCAGCAGATGTTTGGGAGGCCTCTGTCACGTTGAAGAAAATTCAACCTCTTGTTCAGTATAACAATTCAAGGCCTCAGCCTTGTGTGTGCTTTGTCTGAAACCCAAACTCAAATGGATAAATCCGTGTCGTTGCTCGTCATGCACATCCTTGATTTTTGGTTCCATTTGTAAGTGGTATGCAATAGTCAGATAGATACACTATGGTCGCTTAGTTGTCTAAAAAGTGCATGTTAATTATCGCTTCTTAATGTGGCCTTTTGAGGCAATCCTGAGCTCATCACTATGTGTTCGATCCCTAAAATGTGCTTTTTCTAGAAAACTATGAAGGGAGCCCCCACGAATTGGTAACAGCTGTTTCTGTTCTTGAATTGTACTCCTGTGATGCTTGGTAATTCATAGGGCATTCTTGTTGCGGTCCTACCTTACGGAACAGGTGTGATATAGTGCCAAGCTTACAAAACAATTTTAAGTAATTCGATGAAACAATGATTAATTTAATAAGCATTCCCACCAAAGCATCATGCTCCAGGTTGGCGATCATTCAGGATGTGGTCGGACTTTTCAACTAAAAAAGTGGCAGGCGTTGATTGGGAAAAAGAGTCGGAAGTTTAGGAGCTAGCACTTTTTATAAAACCTGTAGGGTACCTCTACTTAAGGTCACGGTGACGGACAAGGCGTGGATGCAGGAGCCTCCTGATGATTCAGCCAAGTTGCAGAGCAGCTGGTTACTTACTCCTGACATCGTCACCACGACCCCCACCACACTGTGCATGCACAACGCAGCCGTCTATCAGGACCAGAGCGATGCGACGTTGTCGTTTAAACAATAATGGACAACACTGCTCGATGTCGGGAACTGTCCATCAACCACCAGCGCCCTAAACAACCAACACCCTTGTTTGTATACTTTATCACCTGCACCACTTGAAAAAACCTACTGGTCTACGAGCCACCACACTCCTCCCCCTCCCTGAGATGGCGCTTGCAGCCTTCGGCGACCGCTCGTTCTGGGTCAATTAGTATTAAGTCAATCCGGCGCTTTTGTTTTGCTGCGTTTAGTATTAGCCCATTTGGTGTTGTGTTCAAGCTGGCGGTATGTATGTGGCATATTTCTGGCCAGTCAAAACCTTCCATATGGAAATTATATGGCCTACAAAAGCAAATTTCACGTCAAAGTTGTGTTTTTGTTTACAAGACATTGGTTGTTTGCCTACCTGAAGTGCCATGTAGAAAGTTAATGAAATGTACACACCCGTGGAAAGCTGCTGAGACCACAGATTTACCAAGCAACTAAAGCCATTGAGTAAATTCTGATTCGATCCGCCTGAGACCGTAAAATGTGATTAGTCTAATAAGTTTACTAATTCACCAAGTTACGCGCCAATGTAAGAATGATTCGGCTGGCAAAATTTCAAACAACGCTGATGAACCTAGTGAAGGTCACCGAGATAAATTGCATACAACCCCAATATGGGGTCACTTCTAAGCATTTCTGTTTAGGCAACTGGATGAATTACCGCACTAAGCATTCCAAAATGCCAGCAGTGAACGAAGTTCACCGACCGTCAGCGCCTAAGCGGTGGGTGCCAATGAGCGTGGAGCTGTGCGCTGGCAAATCCTCCGATAACAAAGCTGTCCGCCCCCGCCCTGGTAATGTCATCGGGTTGCCTTCATCGCCACGTGACCGCACTTGGTCCGTGTAATTTGTCATGCCGTTTTTGTTGATTTGGTAGAGACCTTTACAAGGTTATCGACTTGTTTCAAAATACTGACAACACTAAACAGGATTATTGACTAGTTTGTTGCTGACGCAATTTAAAATAATGAGTTAAAATATTCACAAGTCTATTCCTCTTTTTGTTCAGCTTAGCGTTTGTTCTGGATAATTTTTGCTTTAATTATAGGTGAAGAATGAGATGGCATTAGTTGCAGCATGAGCACAATGGGTTGAAATATTACTGGTTCTAAATGAATGAATTTTGAAAAAGTAAATGTAAAGAAACTAGCAAAGTTGTACTGGTAATAACAGCTCTAGGTATTATAGCCCATTCATTTTGGTTTCTTGTCATTCATCGACTTCTGACTTGTCCAAATAAGTGCAGAACGTTTGGTGCAGACAATATTTATTGTGATTTCTCCTAATGAAGCCGAATAGTTCCGTTTTTGTTTTCTTGATTATTTTGGCCCGAATTGATCACATGCCTCCCCAAAAGTTCAAGTTTGCGCAAGTCATGACTTAATATACCACTATGAATTTTGTGTTGTTATTTCGGTTAACTTCAAGACAAATTGGTATCAATGAAATTAGCCTTCACAGGCTGACGCCAAAAACGTTGCAATAACAGGCGCTGTAGGATTCATTACTTCTCACTTTGAAAGCTGTCGATGAGAAGTCTCCTCCATGCAGTAAAATCGCAATAATTTACAATGCTGTAGGTTAAGAAAGAAGTTCTAGGGGGGAATAATATTGGAAGATTGCCCCAGACAGATTCTCGTACATCGGTGAACCGCATTTGCAACTCGTTGACTAGCGTGACATCTCATTATGTGTAGCAACCTTCGACGGCCGCCAACCTTTGCGGTAAGCTAGAGAATATTGCGCAACATCATTTCAACACAAATAGGTCGATTAATTTTAGGACACCTTCCAAAACTTGCTGTTACAGTTAGAGGGGTCTTCATAACTTTGCTGTAACAAAATGGTAGTGAAGTGGTTTGCGCACGGATTATTCCACGACCTAAATTATTTCACATCACCGTCAGATTCGGCAACCAGAATAATCCAGCTATTCGCCTCAAGGTAAATTAGCCTTTTTCAAGGCCATGTAATTGCATAAAGTGAGTTCATTGTAGCACTACTCTAAATAACATCCGTGTCTTGCGCAAGAGTGTTGCAAAGGCAGACTTTGCACCGACCTTGACATATAGCCTCACCATCAGGAGCCTTTATAGAATAATCGGACATCTCCCCTTGAAAGGCTAATTAAATTACAATTTTGCCCAAACCACGTAATCCTAAATAAGACCTCTGAAATTAACCAAAATATGCACAAGTTTCACATGCAAAATAACTTTTTTGAAATATTTTGTCTGCAAAATTGATTTCCATTGTAAGTTTAACTCAAGTTTGTGTTTTCTAATTAATGTTAAAGCAGCATAAAATAGCTACTACCGTTGCATAGAACATAGGAGCAGGAAGTGAAAGACCTAGGTAACTTGCATCACCAGTTCCTACATGTTGCTTCCTGCTGTCAGTCAACCGGTTTACATTGCTTAAATTCACATGATCCGCTCAAGGGTACGTGTGTAGTAGATCTACGTATTTCTTCTAGTTTTCTTGCAGCTCTATAATTTCATCTGCGTGGGAATCAGACGAGGGTACGTGTCGTTCTGCACACAGTTCTCTGTGTATTCCAATAAGAGAAGAGGACCCGGTTAGACAAAGAATGTACATCAAAAATGTGTCGCTCTTTTGTGGCTTGGGGCCCAGGTAACCTGAAGCCAATTGTGAGCCATTACACTCGTTTAGTCATGTAGTTTCAGGGTAGTTAGATGGTTCTCAATTGAAGCGGCTGCAGTAAGTTCAAAAAAATGTCACATTGGGCAGCAAAATTTTCCTGTGGAAGCAAGCCTAAGTCAAAAAACACTTTGTCTAAAGATGTTAAATTAAGCTAAACTAACTACAAACGTCAATGTTTAGACCGCACAAACTAAACTTAGACGAAGTGTGATGAATAAACAAATGAACAGCAATCAACAATACTAATTAAACTCAAGCTAGGATAAACTGAACATTTTGTTCCCGTATAGAGATAATCATTTTCAGGGAAAATTTACTTTGGACCATCGCCGTTTCTTTTATTCACAGTAAATATCAACCAAATGTCCAAGGCTGCAAGTTTCTTATGATCAATAAATGGCCAGCGATGGGGCCTCTACCTGTCCATCGGTAAAATAAAAATAAAATTTTAAGGAAAACCAGACAAAAAGGCGAGTGAATTACATGGAGTGAGCCACCTGAAGTTATACCCGCAAAAACCATAATTTGATTAGTGTTCTGTAAGTAGATGGCACAGCTAAGGAGAGCTGAGCCACGCTCAGCTGCAAAGATCGGTCTACGGTATGCGTCTTCGATCTCCGTTAAATAGTGGAAGCATAAAGCATTGCACTTTTTGCTAAATGTCTAATTATTTACTTGGGGCTGATAGCGCCTTGAAGCCGTTTCAATTGCTGCTGACCGAGCGAACTATCATTTATCGGATACTAATGAGACGCGACAAGTTACCGCCGAATGCTCAGGTTTTATGCGGCTTCCCAATTCAACTATATGAGCCGTGTTGGGAGCTAATTCTCTTGAATCAAATATGTAGCATATGTTAGTTCAAGCCCCTAAATTGATCCCTTCAGAGTCTTTTTAAATCTTGCAACGCAGTGGCATTGGCCATGGACACAAAGGGAGAAGGCCATTTTTGAACCTCATAGCGGAATGCGCAGCTGCCAATAATAAGTCTGTGTACGTATGCTGTCCCAATTGAGGTCTCATTCTCTTTAGGAGATCAAAGGGAGACGCCGCCGCCACAACCTAACTATGAGGGGGGTCATGGGTGGACACCATTAGCCCAATCACCATCACCACCTCCATCAATACAAAACGCACACACTCTCCAGCATGCACGTGTGCACACGTGAAGGCCAATTCATTTTCCATATACATCTATAAAGAGAATTAACTGAAAGCTTGAACAAACGGTCGAAAAGCAGAAACTTAAGTGTTCACATACATTTGTGTGTGTGTGATTTTTCACCAATACAATTATTAAGGGAAAATGTAAAATGAAAGAAAGGAGCAAAGTCAGTTCCGCAGGCCTATGTGAAAACGAGACTGTGGGGTGACATAATGAACAATTTCCAGCAATAATAACCCCACGTCTACAAAGCACAGGGCTCTAACAAAGGTGTGTTGAGACTGCAAGCACACGGCACCGATGCTGTCCCGTCTCCTTTACCTGTCTTATCACGTGATTTCCAACGCTTAATGTAAAAACCCAAAAAATACATTTGTTTTAAACGCCAGTTCAAATTCATTGCTGACGACCAAACACCGAGATTGGTTTATGTTATTTTGTGCTATTTGCGCGTGTAATCACGCCAGGTGCAGCAAGCTAAATGCCTTTACCCAATCCCCATGTTTCAGGTATGTCACTAGATTCTACCCATTTCTGACAAATCAGTGCATTATTTTGAAATAAAAAGTGGCTGTTATACACCTGGATCTGAGGACATTCTAAGAAGAGATGCATATACTAGCGGAATGCACAAATACGATGTCTAGATACAATGCAACAAAAAGGATGAGTCTAAGTGCCATGTTCTCAGTGAACTTGAGCAACCGCGTCAATGGGGTTCAAAATGGCAATATTTAACGTCACCTGCAGCCATGCCTCGCCTACGTTTGAGATTTCAAAAACTACGTATTCGGAGACAGCTGATCCCAATCATAAGAGTCGTCTCATATTGCTTAGAAAGGAATTAGAAGAGGAGGGTTACTAAAAGATTATTGTCTGAGGAATTGCATGTAAGATGCAATGCATCTTCCTCGTGCATAAAAACATGGAACTAAAATCATTTTGTCGGCTGTTTCCATTAGAGTTCAACGACGTGATTTCTTAATTAAATTCAGTCCAGCACCCGAAAATCTATAAATTAGAAAACTTATGTGGACAAGTTAATAGTTTTGGTCGGTTTTAACTTACTGCTTCATCTAACAGTATTTCTGGCTAGTAATAAATACCCGAGTGTGATTCTCCTCAATAATGTTGAAAATCTAAAA